GTAGTATCCAAGGATTCCTACTAAAATAATTCGACATTTTGCTGCGCGGTGAAAGAGTGAAAAAAAAGAAGCTCATTGATCGCAAGCCACGAGGCTTTAAACGGGTGGTACGCCTCCTGACTTCGACGAGGCTGCTTCTCAGGTAAGCTTTGTATATTTAGAGTAAATTATCAAGTTTTCCTACCCTCTCCCCGATTTCTGTTGGGATTTGGTGCTCGTGGCTGAAACCTACGATTGACCAAAGCTTAAAACATTTCACGCTCAATTAAGTCTCATTTGAATATCTTTCAAGTTCCACATAAACTGCCGACATTAATATGGCCGGCGGCGTCAATTTAGTCTACAATCCCCGTTAAAAAAAGCACAAGTGCTGGTGAAATCTGGGGGAACAACTGATGTAAAGTAACGTTATTAGTTTGGATGAGATAATAAAGGTTATTGAAAATCAAGAAGTGGAGCGACTTCGCCATTTGTAAACTGGACTTGTGTAATATTCTTTTAGTTTAAAAATGAAAACCGGTCATGTGTATCATGTTTACACGTGTCTGTGGTTAAAGTGCCCATAATACTTACAAAATATTTAGCTTATCATATGTACAAACCAATTCTGATAGAAGAAATATTTCAAAAGCCTTAAAACTCGGTTTTTTCGGGCCCTAAAGTGCTCTTATTTTGTCTTAATAGTGTCCCCTGGACTGCTAACGAATTAGCGGGTGATGACGTGGAAAACTGTGAAAACTCTACGTTGACACTTAAAAATTTCCCACATCTCTTGTTATTTTGAATCAGTAAGCGTTGAAATACTCTTGAAATAATGTTCGATAGCGATGTATACCTACCTTCAGCAAGCTCTACCAAGAGTTTTGATACATCGTACTCAAGTAGTAAAGAAGAAATGGAGGTTGCGAGTACGGTTCAGCTCCACGAAGGAGAATCGGTGCATCAAACGAAGATTTCGACGAAGACTGACTAAGAAGGTTTCTCGTGTGCGGTGTTCAGGTCAATATTAGAACAAAAACTCCCGTTACTGAACGTTTAATTTTTTGCGTTTGTGTTTTGTTTTCCATAGCGAAATCTATGTTAAGAATGGGTAGCTGTGTTCGTTCTTGTTAACATAACATTTTACTCCTTCGCACTAAGTACAGCGAAGTTTCCTCTTGGTCAGTGCTCTACCGTTTCGTTGCTGTAGAATGATTCCCTTGGCAAACCACAGGCTAACTTTTGACTAAAGAATTCGCTGTATCACGAGGCACGATGATATTGTACCAAGAAGTCATCGGGCAGTTTCACTGCTAGTTGCTCCTTTCCTCAAAGATTGAAAAGGCTCGGTGAGGCTGTCGTCGTCGAGCCGGTCAAACGGAAAACGGAAAACGAGCGAGGTTGCCTGATTCAAGTTAACCTTAAATAGAGATTTTAATGGAGAAAAAACCTTTAATTTAAGTGTAGCATTGTCATATGACCCATTTCACTTAATGGCAAATAACTGGCTTCAGTATTGTAAATTAATATTTCGTATGCATCGACTTTCACACAGTGCTGGGATTCGCTACCATCTAATTCAATAATATTCTATGTTTCTTTATTTATCTCTTTGCAGTGCTGTTATCACATTGATGCTGTTGCTACTTTTACTTTCTGAAGGGCAGGGGGGAGGGGGAATTGATGGCTCGTGGGATGTATTTTCGGAAACTTAGGTTAGAAGAATACATGGCCCCTTCGAGCTTGTGTTTATATCAGTATCCACCAGAGGTTTCGCTCTGTTCACGCAACAGGATATCGGTCAGTTCAGGAAAGGGGATGAACTCCGGCCACGGAATACGTTCGTCCTATCTTCTAGATTTCTCCTTTCTCCACCATAGTTGCCGACGTGTCTTCACAGTTTTCTACGTCGCAACGATGTAACATGATCGTTTTGGCCGCGCGCTTGATGGGGACACTTTTTGGCCTCCAAATCGTACTTTCAATGCACAAAAAAATGGTCAAGGACAACTCGTTAGGCGCTTAGATCTATTATTTCTAATTTTTAATACATCTATCAACTAAACAAAGCAAAAAAAAATTTGTGTGACATGTACGACGACTCGTTTCTTGCCTTCCATCAGTTTCGAAGGACAAAGAAAATTGATATTACATCGGGCAAGATGCCTATTATTCTCGTTACATTCACTTGCAATAGCGAAAAAATTAGTCTAGGTAAGAGCATGATTTATGTTTTTTCTCAGAGGGCACGGTAACGAATTCTGCAATCTTATCGGTTCTTAGCGCGGTCATTATTTTCCTATCTCTGCCCACGCTTTCATGAGTCGCCGAGTACATCCCTAACTTCGTTGCCATTTTCCATAAATATATTTCTTTTTTCCGGCTGGGCAGTATTTTTAAGCGATGACGTGAGTCGCTACCTCAAGCCGATAAATAACTTATTAATCCTCTCTTTTCTCTGTCTCTCACATCACTTTAATTGTTAGAAAAATATTGGTTTTTAAATTAGCTCGTATCACAGGCGGCCCAAGCTCCAGCTGTGAGATGATCATCTTGCGCAATAACAGTCATGGCGGAATTATAAGAGTTTGTATGGGAATATTTACGACCACTCTAAGGAATAAAAAAATACTTCAAATTCTCAAAAAAAAAATACCTCACCTTACTTCCACAGCGTATTGCTTGTTATCTGACCGCTTACTTTGATGAAAAGAGCCCATTTGAGCGAGTTGTTCATTTCGAGGTTTTCAACGTACATAACATTCTTAGGAAATTCAATGATAGGAAGCCACATTAAATCCCCTTGTGTCTCGTTGAAGTGTCATTCGAATTTGGTTTTTGTGGAGGAAAGACCAGATTTACACACGCTATTACAGCAAATAAACGAGCAAACTCTCACAACTTCAAAATAAAAAGCTTGAATTTACTTACAATTACTTTTGTTGCCATTTACTCACTGAACAGAGGTACAACTTCGTACATTAATTTATCATCGATAAGAGTAAATAATACTTTCCGTAAGACCATGGACTGTTCTAGAATAAAACATTGTTATGACAGTCGTTGCAAACTAGTTCCGTTGTTCTTTCAAAAGTGTAATGCGCTTTTTTTACGCGCTCTCTAATTGACAGGTGTCAGATTATGACAGATACTTATAAAAACAATGTTTCAAAGTTGGCTTGGAAGCCTTCTAAAATCACCTTTATCATTACGTAAATGAAAATGTTTCGATGAAGCATCTCTCTTTCTAATTTGCATTACCTCTATTTGAACTACCATTTACTTTACTGGGGTAGGAGAGCCAAGGCGAATGCCGAGAAAAAAATTTACTCAAGTACTCTCCCTCGCTCCCAGGTTTCGAAGTTTGCCTTTGCGAGGAAGAAAGGCAGAAGTCTTACCGTACTGACATTGGCTAATTCCCACAAATGTTCGGAGCAGTTTCTAATTCACCTAAATAACCCAACTATTTGATTTTTATGCAGGATGGCTGATGGAGGCGAAGATTGTTATTCAACATCCGATTTGCACTTTGATGTTACGGTGGTTGACTCCAGTGATGGCGAAACTGACAGCGACGATGTCAGTGAGGAGTTTAGTGAGGATGACGATGTTGTGAACCTGTGTAAGATTATTAAGAAATTCAAGTTTCTCTGTGGTAGTTTTAATGTATGCAAATGATTGTCAAACTGAGTTTCCCCGGTTGCTCCTTTACGGGCCTGTTGAGGTCTGCAGAGTGCCGGTGATCGAATGGAGATGCAGTCCAATTATTGTCGGTTGGAACATGTCAGCTTTCTGTCAAACTACCGGTAGAACACAGTATTTCAAATGATTGTTTTAAAAACTTTTATCGTTCAGTTTAATCTTTTGTTTCTGTTTTTCTTAAATCTTTTTTTTTCACGATATTCATCTTTCTTTTAAATGAAATACCAGCACTATGTGTTTCGCAACACATTATACTGAAACCCTAGCATCACTAACAACATTTTTACTTCTAACAATGCATCAAACATCCTAACATGTTACTTCTGTTCTTGAAAGTGCGGTTCATCTCAATTCTAAGGTCAGCTAAAATGTGGTTTCTCTTCATGTGGTTGTGGAAGTGGCCCAATGGTCAGTGCACTAGACTCCGTGTTTTGTGATCCGGGTGCGCGACCAGGCCAGGTCAACGTATTTTGTTCAAAGGCCAAAACTTTACTCTCATAGCGCCTCTTTCCACCCAGGAGTAAAAATGGGTGCTGGCGAATTTTCAGGGAAGCCTGATGAAATGCTGGGGGTAACCTTGTGATGGACTGGCATACCATCCTGGGGGGAGTGCTGATACTCCTAGTAGCTTTATGGTAGTCGGGATAAGCTCCGGCTGAATGGGGTACTAGGCTCGAGTGCAGACTTCACTTACATGTAAGTTGACTGTCACCCTAGAATTAACAATCTAGTGGTAACAATGAAATAATACGGTTTGCGTGGTTTATTCCTTGCACACAAGCTGTTTTTTGATAATGCAACTTGCTTGGAAATCTAATTTTGTGGTTACTGCTGTAGCTGGCAGTGAAGAAGAAGAAGAATTTCAATTGGAAGATGAGGAAGAAGAGCTAATTGACGAGGAGGAGGAAGAACAATTTTCAAAAGAGCCAGGGAAGCTAGATAAAGGTTATCTGACTTGCATCAATTCATCTTTTGCCGAGCTAAATATTCCCTTCTCCAAACTAGCATGTAGCAAATAATGTTGTATATTCCGCATCCTTTATTGTCGCCCTGGTTTTCAGTTAAATAATCATCACGCTACCTAAGTGGTGGAACAGAGTTTAGCTTTCTCAAGAAACAATTTTTTGAACGATATCAGTGGAGAAACTGTCACTGTGGATCCTGTGCTTCAAACCTAAGAAAGTCCACAGAAAGAATTATTTAACTATCGATAGGATTTTGTACCAGTCTATTTGATTGTTATAGGTGGAGGATCAGAAGAACCACATGAGGATGGTGTTGACAACGATGAAAAACCTCCACCCAGCTTCTCCAAAATTATGCATTTGGTTAGTAAAAGATTTTATGGTCGAGGAGTGGATACAAGGTTAGTATACAGATCCGACCGGGATTGGTCGGCTTATGTTGTAGAGTGCCGCACTACCGTGTGGGAGGTTGAAGGTTCAAGCCCCCAACCGGACCAACACTCAGGATCTTAAAATAACCGAGGAAAATGTGCTACCTTTGCTATAATATCTGAAAATGGTTATACATTCTAGTCTTCTCGGTTAAGGACGATAAACCCATCCTCTGCATCTTCGCTGCACTGGTTAGCAGGGGACGTTTAAGGACCCACGTACATCTCGCAACGAGTAGAGAACGTAGCTCCTGATTTTGTGTTTTGATCTTGTTATTGTTTATAAATTTGAAATATACCCCATAAGTATTTTCCTTATTGAAGGAGTTGGGGCAATAATAGAGGAAGAAGGAGAAGACGGAAATAGAATTATATAACGCGCGTGAAAATTGATAAAATGACGAATTTTTAATGAAGCATCACAAGTACCCAGGAATGGATCAGTCGTAAGTTTTTTCTTTATTCTGATTGTTAGAAATGTGGAGTTCGGGTGGCAACTGCACTCAGCGGACTAAAACCTCAAATCTACCAAATCTTGGAACAAGCATTTTATATTTTAAGAACGAAAAAATGTTTCCTTAAGAAAGAAGTGCTCAGTATCCCTTTTCTGCTCAACAGGTTTGTCAACATCCTGACTGACTTTGCAGATGCGGAGATTTTCCTGATCGACGGCGACTCCTTGCTGTTAGAAATTATTGGTGAAAAAAGCTTGGATTGGAATAACGGGGGGCAGTTTCTGCATCTTACATACTTAACAGAGCGATTTTTGCAAAAGTTCACAGAGAAAGGTTAGTGCAAAGATGGCTGAACGCATCCCACAGGGCAAATTCCATAGGAATGCACACTCAAACTACATTTTGGTTTTTATAAAATGAAAGTAGAATTTAACGAATAGGCGCGGTGGGTGAATGAGATATTTTTGTTAATTCTCTGAAATTACAATCTTATGTTTAAGCCTCCGTTTATCTTCCTCTCGTTTCCCTTTTCACTTACAAGAAATTGCTCGCATAATTCTAAGTCCTATGACGTTTTCGTCCTTGCGCTGGCATGTTGCTGTTCCTCATTAAAGGATTTTTCTTTACCTTCCGGAACAAACAAAAACAGCCCTGTTTAAGCTGCAATGACGTCATCGTTTCACGTTTTCACTAATGAGGATTGGAAATGTACTCGGGTCTCGTATGTTTTTTTTCCATGAGTTTTACGAGTGGTGTACTTTATGGCAAATGAATAAATACGATGAAAGGGTAAACAGGTGACGTGGTCCCCTTGCCTGGTGGCCTCGAGCTCCGTCGCCCCCATTGAAGCACCGTCGTCCCCCAATGAAGTTCCGTTGCCCAGAAGTATGGTTCTTTTATTAAACTTAGGTCAAAAGTTAGGGACAACGCATCCATACTTCAGAGAGACGGAACTTTTATAGGGCGACGGAACTTGCTGCGACAGTGCAAGAAGGCGACGTCACCAACAACTGATGAAAGGTTATTCATCGCTGTTTTAATCTGTTCAAATTTTTTTTATCTTATAAACGGTGATTATTTCTCTCAAGGTGGCGTTTTCCACATCGTCTTTTTTAAAGAAATGGAAATCATCTGGAGAAGTAATCCGTCCCTGCTGCTCGCTCGAGAAGCTCTTATTCTTCATCTCCAGCGCAACACAGATTTAATCGTGAAAACGTCAATGGTAGATTTCTGGGGACAGGAGTGGAAAGATTACGTTAATGACGAAGTTCCTGCCTTTTTGCTGTTGACGGATGCTGAAAACATTCCCTGGAAGGAAGGAAAGCTAAAAGCAACAATGCAATATTTTTTCCGGTGTTTCTTGTTTCATTGTCTCGCGCATGGATTGAATTGCGTGTTCGTTTCTGGCATCGAGATAACTGCGACCAAAGTGATGGGATTTTACATCTATTCATCGGCTATTCACAAAAACTGCTTTATGACGGTAAAAATTATTCTCACCGGAAACTAACAAGATTTAAAAGGTCCACTTTCACGCGAGGATAGTTTTTAATTTTCTACTATTGCTTTGATTTACATTTAAAAGCTTAGTGATTGATCGAGGAAACTCATATTTCCCAGTTAAACAAGCAGTTGCAAAACTAAAGTCAAACTTGACTTGGCACTGACTTCTTTCCTTCTGTTCGTTGAGTCTGTGATATTTTCCTCAGTGTGATGGGCCATTTTGGTTAATTTGGTCTCAGACTTAGATTTATTATACTCAACTAACGATAAACCCTTGAGGTCGTTTTTCCCTCTCACTACCTTCATTTGAAATCAGGTGTAACGTGGATGAAATATGGATAGTTATTATTTTCCCACAGAAACATCGCCTTTATAGGTAACGAAACTGAGTTTATCAAACGTGTTTAATTACATTGATTGTATTTTTAGTTTGAACAGCCAATTTGGAAAACATGGCAATATCTGGTGAGTTACTGGAAGGATCAGGCATATAAATACTCTCCAAGATGGTCGGACACGTTTCCTGGAGACGCTCTGGTGGGTGATATTCGAGACATTTTGAGCGCACCATAAAGATTTTATCTAAAATATAATTATCACTTGACGGTCTCTGAAGAAATATTATTTTGGAAAGTCTTCTCGCTGAATTTTCTGTTGATTCGATGCCAAAAATACCAACAACGCAAAATCAAATTCCTTGTTTTTCAAACAATAAAATCTTTTAATTCCAAGTTGAGAGTCTGGATCTTTTTTCAATTTGACGAAGTTCTGAGAAGCACTTGTCTCAAAATGTTACTTCTCATTGTGCACACATGATTGCATGCAGATTTCACTATGATCGGGGAAACAGCAAACTCGGAAAAATGAATTTCATATCATTAGGGGAGGGGGACGCCGCTCGATCTAAATTATGTAGATGTATGATCATTCTTTGATATTGTCGTTCGCTGTGGAATAACCAGTTGGTATGGATCTATTTATAATCCTTCTAAAATAGGTGGACGAACCTCAGATTGACATAGAGGCAGAAGTTCGCAAAGCTCTTCAGCCTCCACTCCGACAAGGCGGCTGTCGACAAGTTACCGCAGTCCTTGGGTGTGCACTGATCCTCTTTAAAGCTCTCAAGGACCCTAGAAGCACCAAGGTACGTACGAAAGTGGAAAGTAGAACTTTCTTAACGATGAATTATTCAAATATGTTACTCACGGAATGATTCGAGGGTTTGTCTTTCCATTGCGCTTACAGGAAAAGATGAAAACTGTAGAGGACAGAATGAAGCTTTTTTTGCTTCACATTGTATTACTGAACAAACTGCCGTTGAAGTGTAGAGCTCACCTCATAGACGAGAACTTGTTAAATGAATTCTGTAAAGCAAAGGATGATAACGTCTATCCCTTTAACGAGGTTAGTGAGGTTACGTGACAAATTTTCATATGGTGGACTCTCTCACAATGGACACTGTCCTAAACGGAGATGTGCAACTTCGGCCGTATCGTTTTCCAGACAACCATGCATAGTGTGCATTACAGACGCATTATTAGACACGGTTAACCAAACACATCTCTTCTATTTCCTATTAATGTCCACTCACGGAATCTCCAACGGCGGTAAACGTTCCTCCAAGAATTAGATCATTCCGGAAGGCGAAGAACGGCATAAAAGAGGTCGTCTATCTCTTCCCCACTATGTATGAATAATGAAGGCTTAGTTCCTGAAATTACTTTTCAACTTGTCATGCCTCTATTTTCGTTTCAGAGATGTGTACATCTATTGTGAAGTTTTGCCCTAGAGTGGATTTATGTTGAAAGGAGTTATGTCTCGTTGCTTAGCATTTTTTATAAAGCATACAACATAAAACAAAAAATTACCTTGTACTCATACGCGTGATGCGTTTATTACTTGCTGACAGATCTATACGTGTTTATGGGAGATTTTAAAGACAATACAAGTTGTGCAGAGAGATGCAAGTAGAGACCAAACAAGCAATGAATTTTTTAAGTCAGTAGCAGATTTAATGGATGGGCGTCTGGTCCATACTCTCTTTTCCGCTGTCTTGGAGCAAAGGTCAAATGGAGTCGAAGGTGGGTTAGAAAAATGGTGAAGTAAATGGGCGCGTTAATCTCGCGCGCTAAATTCCCGATGGCGAAATAGAATATTTTATGACTGTAAGGATCGTTAGGATTCTTTCTTCGTTTTGTTTAGATATACTTTTCACTCTTGTTCGTTTTGTTCTTTTTCAACTTACACGTTTTTTGGGAGAGCACACAAATACACGTTAGCTGCAGATGTATTAATCATATCTACAGTTTTCACTGAGCTGTATACGTGCAATAGCTTGTTGCAATCCATATTTAACTACACCTGTGGTTATGTCTTCTTCATAATTATTTTGTACTGGTATTAGGACTCAATCTACCAGGAGATGTCATCACGGAATTAGAAGATGCGTGGCAAAATGCCGTAGACGTTGTAAACAGGTCATGCGGTTCCCATTCCCTCGAGGCCCAGTTTTTTCCCTTTGCCGAGGATTTGGCAGATTTTCATGCGGCAGTAGGTGAGAAATGTTTTCAGCAAGCTCTTGTGTGCGAATCATTCTATTGATTTACATCTCCTTTTCTAAATTTATCTCTATGTTCTCTAATTAAAGGGTTTTTTTTTCGTTTCATTTGGCATAGATTGTGAATTTTCCTTCTTTACTCTTCTTTCGATCATGGAAACATGGTTTAACCTTGTTTACTTATGTATTGAATTATTTTGCATAAAATAGTAAGCCATGAACTTGTTCCATTTCCGTGAATGCCGCGATCAATTAAAAAAAAAAGACTTGAAAAAGTCTTAAAAGATGTCAGTCTGAACTGATCAGGACAAAACAAGTCGGACGTTGCAAATAAATGAGTTAAATATCAGACTATGTTGGCTCTGTTCCCACATGAGAAAGCTAAACTTCCGTTTTTACAGCTGCAGGCGGGATAGTTTCATTTTTTGAAAAGTGAAGCATTTATATTTTTGAAGTGCCAAAGTGGGTGACGAGAACTGAAAATGTTAAGCGCTCATTTTTTTTTTTCTGCTACAGCAGTTTCGGTTGTGCGTTCTGATGCAGACTCCACCATCAAGCTTAGGCGACTTACTGAGGTGCAAAGTGATCTTGTGAATGACTATGCTGGCGACATTCGGACAGAAATTAACGCCATGGCTGAGTAAGTTGATAAAAAGCTAAAGCCTTGTCTTTCATTCGGCTTTATGCTCGTTTTTTCCTTTTTGAGGAACGTGTTAAGTCTGCTTAACTCGTCCTTGTCCTGTCGTGTCCGTTGATCTTGCACTTCGTATGGCTTGCGACTGTACTTTAACATAGATAAACGAGATGCATAGTTTTCGCGAAACATCAGAGACTAAAAAAGTGATGCCGTTGGGTTTTGTCAGTGTATAATGTTTTTTTTTGTTTCCACACATTGTGACTAATTAACTGATTGAGTGTTTCTGTTTGTTGTATAGCTTGAAAGCCCATTTCCAACCTTGATGCAACGCGCGCCGCGACCTAATGTCCTGTAACACGAAATTCCCACATCACTGAAAACCTTCTAAAATCGTCTTTCTCAAGAGCCATCCTGGACATATAGCCAACTGTTTTACGGTTAATACATTCGCCGTTCGTCATTTTACAGTTTCCTCACAGTATTTTGAATTTTATCCGGAAGAACCCGAAGAAAAAAAGTGTCACGCTTGGATCTCTTCGTACTCTGTGAACAGAGTCGGCGAAAGGACAACGTTCATTTTTTTTCACTTTCTAGAAGCGCTTGAGGATTCTAAATGAAGATAAAATATTTCCAATAGAAATTGGAGTTTTTTAAAGAGAAATGTGGAAAAATATCAGACTGCCGGACATTTAGTTATTCGGTAGTGTACGGTGAAAATTTTCTTAGTGTCACGTTTAGATCTCTTCGTACTCCTGTGTACAAGGTCAGCGAAACGGACAACGTTGGAATTTTTTCACTTTCTAGAGGCGCTTGAGGATTGCTAAGAAGGAAGATTATTTTCCAACGAAGAATTTATATTTCATAAAGAAATATGGAGTTATTTGAGGACCGTGTCCAGCCGTGTCATTGAAAAGTTTAGGCTGCCTGAAAGCGCAAAGGTAGAACATTTTCGTATAAACATTTTTTGGATTTCGAAGAGAAATATGGAAAAATATAGGACTGCCGGACGTTTAATTCTTTTAAGTTTCGTCACTTCATTGCAGGAACGTCAGCGACACTGATAGTTTGCGTTACAATTCTTATTTGCTGCTTTGCATGGACAACAACCTCGACTACTCTTTCGAGCGCAAGCTCCTCTCCACGGGCAGGAAACTTCAACTGACCCTTGGTCCTATTTAACAAGGATGACAAACTTCAATTAGAAAAAATTGATGAATGGATGAAAACGTGGTACGTTGAATCAACATTTTCACCTTCTTCGAAATGATCGCAAGGATTTTCGTGTTCTTCTTAGGCAACAACGGATCCATAAGCGTTTACTGCCTCGGAATCTACAAAATCAATGGATTCATCTGATTCCATGCCGGATTAAAACGTATACAACTATTTTAAACAGAATTATTTTGACAAGCTCTTCAAATTCATCGGAGAAAACGCAGAAGGTATTTTGAGACAACGTGACAAGGTAAAAATAACTGACCAATCAGAGGCGCTATTTAAACAAAAGCGGTGGTTCAAAACAAAAACAAACGACCGCCTTGCATCAAGGTTGGAAATGGGCCTTTAACACGATTGGAGTGCTAATTTATGTACGGTCAGGCTCGAAAAACCCGACAAAAACACGTAACTATGAAATTTGATGAGCTTCAGAACCTCTGCCCTTTAATTATCAACTACGAGTTCACGAAGTTTCCAAGCATTCCGAGAGGATGCAAGACTAACTGAATTGACAAGTTTAGTCAAGTGAACCCAACAGAAACCCTGAAAACAATTTGTTGATTAATTGTATTTTGCAGTTTGTTTGTTCTTTTTTTTGTGATATTATTTCATGCCTGGTTTGTTCCTGCTCCGCAGAGAAATGAGTGATGGCGATATACCCAACGTTGGCCGTGAATTTGATGAACGATACCACTGGCATTCTCTTAAGCCTCTTTCTGATGATTACGACAGAACAAAGAAATCTATTACTGGTAAAATACCTCCAAGCCTAATAAAATTGAAAGTTAACCAGCAAAGAACTGTTTTCACAGTATGAAAATAACAGCACATCTTTAAATTATAATGTCGATACATCTCTTTTTAGATAATCCTCCAGAAAATCCTTGGCATAGGGAACGGTATTTGCAAGATAAGCAGAAATATGCTCGCTTTCAAAGATTCTACGGCAATTCACTGGTTGGTGGCATTGATCAACAAAAAATCGTCACTGTCAAAGAGTCAGGATCGAAGAAAAAAAAAGGAAAAAGAAAGGAAAGTAAACAGGTTAGTTTTGTCAGGGAAATATTATAATCTTAATATAAAGTCCTTCATAACAATTTGTTTACATGTTTGGGACCTTTATTTGGAATAAGATGTGAGAATTTTTGCGTGTATTGCATGATTATTTGCTCATTTGTTTGTTTGTGTTTTGTTTTATTTGTTTGTTTGTTTGTAAAGGGAAATGATATTCACCCTCCCTGGGTATGAAGAATAGCCAATTCATTAGATATATTTCAAGAGTCTACCCGACAATCACTTCGGAATTCCAGTCCGAGAAAGGTGTTTTCCGAACTTGTCTTAAGAAACACGCTCACTTTTGATTTTTTTACAGAGCAAAAAGGCTGCAGAAATAATCAAAGAAAATCTTAAAAAAAGCGCAGGTAAGTCGTTAATACATATTTCTACCTATGAAAATGATCATGTCCATGAAATATCATCACTTTCATAGGTTTCGCAGCTGTTTCGCTGTATTCCCTCTTTGTGCCATAATTAGGAACAAGCGTGATAAGATGACAAGTAAGGAACTGATCTTCTCAATTTTACTGCAATTTGCACTAATGCAGAAATACGGAAGAGAGCAAATTCTGGCCCCTTCGATAATTAAATGTAAACTGTGCCTCTGTGCCTTGGATATCTGAGGTTAAATATCCCTAGTACAAAATACCTGTGAAGGGGTGCTTGTTTTGTAATTAGCATGATCAAGACAAGAGAGTGTTCAAAACTTTTATTTCGGTAAAAAAGGATTGAAATGTACTTTTCGCTTTTTTTTTTAAAACAGAGAAAGCAGAATTGAAAGATCAAGAAAAGTGGGATATCACTGTGAGGAATATCGAAAAAAATCTGAAGAGAGATGACTTCAGCGCTGTCCTTAAATTGGTTGATCAATATCTGTCAGTTTGCAAATCTCCCGAACTTCGTCTTCACGCGCTCATGACTAAAGTCGACAGTTGCTTTGAGGCCTGGAAACAGACAAGTAAGTCAAAGTCAAACGATGTGTTTTCACAAGACATTACGGTAGGTAAATTGGGGAGGCGGCCTTGTGCATGTTGGTGTTCCAAGTCAGTTTTCAGGGATCAGAACTCTTTTCTCTTTCTTTTCTCAATCCTTTCAAATGATTCACCTGCGACTTCAAACGCGATCGAAAACGCTGTTTTGGGAGAATAAGGATGGGATTTCAAAAGTAAAAAAATCTGAGAGCGCATTTGAGCGACAAGGATATTAAAGTTGCACTGCAGTTTAACAAATTAACTTTTTTTCCTAGGAGATGCGGACCCAGAATCTAATGATATGAAATATCCTGTACTTTTGATGGAAAGTGTACATAAAATATCTCAAGACTTGCCAAGTGTTCTGAATGATAAAAACAGAAAGAAACTTGCTAGAATTATGCAAAATTTGGGATTTGACGACCTTGTTCCTTTGTTTTATGAGATGCCACCAGATCGTGAGAGAAGGGTAAATATACCATTCCACATCAACTATTCAACGTTTACAAGCGAATATTGCTCAAATGTAGTCTTAACATTCTTACTCTCATTATATGCCACCAAAGTCAAAGGAGTAATTGATATGACTCAAACTTCTCTCTCTCTCTCTATAGAAAACTAATACGTTATTCCAAAAAAATTGACCCTTTATTCAATCAATAAACATTTTGTGTAACCAAAGAAATCCTAGCTCAGTGTAACAGACGTCTGAATTTATCCACCCGTTTGACCGCGAATTACTTTTCAAACTACTCTCTTGGCCTTGTTTACTATAACGAATCTCGAATTTCAAAGACAAACAACGATGCACACTATATATCATGCGAGAATGCAATTATAAACAATAATAAGTTGCAAGTGAAGAAATGATCATCGGAGATGAGCTGCAATAAAATAAATTGCAAGAAAGAAGCCTATGACGGAACATGTGACATGTGAATGAACGTGTTAGGAAATATCAAAAAAAAATTGCTTACATAGTTCTTAACTGTTGATAATAATGTTAGTGATATTTTTCTTAAAGTTATCCTTTTGTCCAGAGATATCGTTAGAGAAAAATAGTAATGAGGACTGTTGAGGTAAGGATGATGAGTACCTCGGAATTATGTCATAAACGTCTTTTGATCCTAGACTGAACGGCTTTTTGTTCACAACACAAGCACCAGATTCCAACTTGAATACATGGGGCATTTGCTGAAACGGGAAGAGAGAACCGATCCGGACCCTCGGGTTGAAAATTTTATTCCGGATACATGGCAGGTATATATTAATAGTATATTTACCATGCATAATGAAGACATGCTCGTGCTTGAAACATTAATAAGAGTTATAAAAGTTATGGTAAGTGCCCCTCCGAGGCCATTTATTTGGTATCAGTTTGTCCAAGCTCAAGAAATTTTCTAGTTTGATGCTGGAGTGTCTTTTTTTTCATTTGGAAGCGCGAACTTCTCGATGCTGTTGATAACAATGAATCAGCTGTGATAGTAGCACCAACTTCTTCAGGAAAGACTTACGCCTCCTACTACTGCATGGAGAAAGTTCTGAGGCAAGACGATGATAGTGTAGTGGTCTATGTCGCACCGACAAAGGTAAAGTGGCATTCTTTGGCATTTTCTTTCACCAGAAAGAATGGCCTTACCCCTTAAAATTGCCTATAAATAGGCCCAAAACTCGAACACGGGCGAAAAACAACTTAATAACTTGGCCACTTACACAAAGCCGCGCCACACCTTTTACCAATATATGCTGTATGGTTGTCGTTGAAACAATCTTTTTGAGTTAGGAATAGATATCGGTGGAGCTCTTAAATGTACAAATAATGTGGCCTCCGTAGTTTAGCATTTAAAGACAAGGTTGATGAGCTGAGGTAATTCATTAGAGTTTCAAAACGCGGTCAGCGGCATAATTTTGTTCAATCCTTTTATTTGTGGAGGGAAACCTTATACGATTTCTGGTGCATGTTTCCTCTTTAAATTCTCAATGGCTAAAGGGCCCACTTCATCTGAACGTGCTTCAAAGTCCAAATACTTACCTAGACCTCCGCCAAAATTTGTCAGCTTTGTTAAATTGAAGAATATCTGCTTTAATGTGTTGTGGAAAAGCTATCTTCCTTTAGTTCTGGTCATTGTTAAATCATGTCACAAAAGAACCCAGTGAAGCGAAAATTTTGATTAACTACTGTTTCAAATTTAGTCATTTCTCGGCCTGGTCAAGTTTTGGATAACTGTGTAAGAGTCAATGAGTTCCCATTTCAGTTTTGCACCTATATAGAATAATTTTAAAGAAATAGCAAAACAAAATGGTTGTCCAATTTCATTTACTGTATCATTCTGACTACTAATCAATTCTTACTGTCCCGTTAGGCGTTGGTCAATCAAGTCGTTGCTACAATTTATGCACGGTTTACAAAACAGATGCCCAAAGGGAGATCAGTGTTCGGTATTTTTACGAGGGACTATCGTCACGACACACTAAATTCCCAGGTAACTAGAAATGAATTTGAAAATCGGTAGCCGTAGCACCCTTTGTTTGCAAAAGTGTGAGAAAATGCCTTAGATTTCATTGGCATGAAACTTATAAATGTTGAGGAAATACTTTTAAAGTTAATCTTAAGAAGGGTTCTTAGGGTTATTTGACCGCGCGAGATCTGGGTGCGAACACAGCGCAAGCTTTAGAAATGTCAACATGCAAAACAAGCATGGCAGTTCGATACGATAGCACGATTGTTATTTGAAAAGGTAGATTAAAAGCAGTTTAACAAAATACAGTTTTTATGTGATGGAATCTAGGGTTTCCAGCAACTGTACCCGTAATATTCATGGGCCTTTCACGCCTGAAAAAGAGGTCAAACGAAAAGAAAACATCGTAGGAATTATTGCCAAAAGGCGACAGATCGCGACAGATTCGAAAGTTTACGCATGCTCAGATATATATCTTGGCGAAGTTCTATTCCATTACGTAATGTTTTGCGACAAAGAAAATAGGGATCTTTCGAGCAAGAGTTATCACGTTTCCGTCGGCGGCCATGGAATTTCCTAAAATTTGCTGAACCGTTAAACATATTTGTGCCCTCCTGGTGCCTGCAAAAATTGCAAATAGCGAGGAAACTGCCTTTGTAACCCCTATGTTTTTCGGCCTTAAAATAATCGGCAGGACAAATTTCACAAATTGTGCGAATTTTGAGAGATTTTGCCAAAACAAATAGATAAAAATCAAAGGCAAAGCCAAATTATCACTGGCGAACACCTCCCTTCGCGAAGGCCTAGCTTAATAACGGAAATCATTTTGATTATATTTACTACGGCAAACGATAGTCCGAACCTTGCTCATCGCTCTTTTGATGGCTTTTAGCGACCTAGAAAAGCGCGCGCGCCAACATTGAGCAAAACCCTAGGAAGCCTCCTTAATACAGTATTATTTCAATAGCACCCTTTTGTTTGCCATTTTACCTACAGATTCTTGTAACAGTCCCCCAGTGTTTGGAGATCCTCTTTCTCTCTCCGCACAGACAGCATTGGACGAAGAACGTAAAATACGTGATTTTTGATGAGGTAAAAGAGTATCATATCCTTCTGTTGCCACGTCAACAAGTGAACGTTTGTTGAGCATGCAGTTTCGCTGAGCTGGTTTGTTCATTTAGTTAAAGTAGATGAGTTTATTGAAAAAGCTATTAAAGGCTATTTCCTATATGTTTGTTTCTCTCGTACTTAGTATTTAAATAGAGTGTTGTTTCATCAATAATCGTAGTTTCATTAACTTAGTTATAGAACAATTTGCCCTCTCACGGGCGTCTTTCAAGGGATGTAAATGACTTCAAAAGTAAATTGCAAGATTGGAGCCTTTTAGAGCGTGTCTACAGCCTTGTCACGTTTTTAGCTATCTTATAGTTTTTTTTAGTTTAGGATTTAGCTTTTTATATTTTACGTATGTATTACTATTTTTTTTACATTCAGTGAGTTGTTATAAGATGGAATCATACAATATTTTTGCTGCAATTACTAGAGAAATTATTTATACGTGTTCGTATTTTGAACGATTTCCTAGCTCCTCGACTAACGGTGTTAAAATAAATGATTGATTGAAATTAAGTAATCTATTTTTACCCTTATCTGCAAGTGTAGAATTTACGGGCAATAATGCAGACTGAAGTAATTTCTGTGACGCTGTACATAGGTTCACTGTATTGGTTCAGAAACTGGAGCTGAAGTGTGGGAGCATCTCCTTCTTATGATTCGCTGTCCCTTCTTAGCGCTCTCAGCAACCATTGGAAATCCAGAGGATCTAAGACGGTAAGAATTGAAGAAGAGATAGCAGTTTTTCTCACTGAAGGCTTCTGTTGAACTACTGGAAGTATCATATTTGCTATGACCTTCCTTTTGATAACAGAGGTTGAAAGCATTCATTCTCTTATGTACAGCTGGCTGCAAGCCGCCCAAGACTTCCGTGAAAAGCAGGACAGGAAAAACAATGAAAATCTGAGGAAGTCATATCGTATCAGATTAGGTGGGAAAAAAAAAATTACAATTCTTTGAAATGGTGAATACTTTGAAATCCTTGAGTGCCTTTTTACTTATTTTTTATTTACTCCTGTTCTTCCGCGGAAACAAACCAGTTTAATGTCGCAAATGCATTTTAAAGACTTTCTCTTAAGACGGCCCTTAAATTCAGTGCCATATTTTTTTTACTTTATTTTTTTTTTTTTGTAAGATGTTAATGACACCACGGTTCGCGAAGGTATACTACTTCTTGTTAGGCATGAAGTCGAATGTTTTCTTTCTTTTATTGTGACACACCATATCAGTTTTTACTGAGGAACTTCTCTTTACTTATTCCTAATTTTTGATTGATTTCTTCTAATTCCTCGCTTATTTTTTAAGTGAAATTTGAAGAAAGATATTCCGATCTGGAGAAGAGCATTTTCCTTCCAAGTCCTAACAACGAAGAACATCATGTTTACAGCGACGAGGAGTTCGTAAGACTTCATCCATGTGCCCAGCTAGGATACAAACAGGTCAAGCGTTTAATTCTTCATTAGCACATTCAGGATTTGTAAACTTGAGAAATTCTCTACGGTGGCCAACTTACATTATCACCTCAGTTGATAAAGCCAAATTAACTTGTTATACTACCATTGACGCAGCACCACAGTTTCTGTAGAAACTTACCCCCTTTATAAAAAAGGGGGTAAAATTTAACAGTTTAGTTTTATTGACATGGCACAATAACCAAAGTGAACTATACCGTTGCATTTTCCCGATGACAATAATCGCGATTACATTGATTTTTCCTCAGTCAAGGAAAAATAATTTGTTCTTTTGTTTATAATGGTACTTATTAAATGATATAAGTAATGTGTTTTTTATTTTGACGTCCGTTTATTCGTTTCCTTCAATCTAGACTCAATTCCCATTATGGTGCATAGTTTTCTTCTTTGGGATCAATTATTCATTTCAGTTTATATGCGAAGATGAATTATACTTGCGGAGGATTATACAAGCGGAAAATTATACACGAAGGCAGACCCATATGTGAAGTCACCATCACCGACATGTCGCTCGAAAAAAAAAAAACAAATAAATTCGAAGTAGCGATGCATCTGTACAGTAATAGATCTCAGTAGACGTCAAAATGTGGAAAGCACATCAAGATTTTTCTTCTTACCACATTTTGTCGTCATGTGTGGTCCATGATTGAACAGACATTAGGCATCATGGAATCTATTTGTCAAGTTCTAAAGTTTTAGACGACAGTTAGGCTTTGTAAGTGTCTAGTTCTCTCTTGATTTATGTTTTGTCCGATATATGGTAAAATCCATGGATCGCTATCCTCCCTCTAATTCGAGGTACTTACCTAAGAGTCTCACATGCTCTTTTTCTTACACAGCTTCTAGAAAATGGTTTTCCAGGCGATATGGCACTTACACCAAAAGAGTCTTTGCAGCTGTATGACACTATGGTTAGTGTGTGGCCAGACTGTAAATCACTCCAGGTCAGCGCATTTGTCATAATTATTTCAATCTTGTAAATGCTAGTAGAGAAACAATGGTTAATGTAAATAAAATTTTCCTCGGCAGAATCTTTGTGCTGAGACATATTTCCTAGAAAATAAGTTGATCCAAAAGGTTCATGCTCGGCTATACGAGAGTGACCTGAAGAAAGAGTTCAAGTCTTGGGCAGACAGCAGAGAGTCGTCAAAGGTAAAAACAAATTTATTTGGTTTTCTTTGTTTTGTTAGGTCTAACCATTCTCAAAAACAAAGGGAAAAATATGCAACAATGAAACGTAGCACGCATTTTGTAGGATACAGGCTCTAATTGTTTATGTGTTTTGAATAGGATTATTATATTTTTGTTTCCTTAGGTTCAGTCAGGCTTGGGCTTTATTTTCATTACTGCTTGATTAATATTCATCACTGCAATGATCCCTCACAAATTCATTTATTGATCCGCAATTTTAAATATATCTTATTCATTTATAACCATGCTCAACAACGAATGGAAATAAAAGGTTTTAATGAACAATGAAAACGAAACACGCTCTTTTTAAGATACAGGCTCTAGTTGTATTGTATATTGAATAGGATCATTGTTTTTGTTTTCTTAGGTTCAGTCAGTTATTGATTCTTTAAACTCAGTTTTGTTGGAAACTCATTCGTCAACGGAAGAACGATGGGGTGAACAGAGAATGACTTCGTATGGCCAAATATTCATAAGGAAAACTTTTGAAAAACTTATCAACGAGCTCAAAGCCCAGGAGAAACTTCCTGCCTTGGTATTTAGGTAAATGGGAATCGTTAAGAGTCAACTTTAATGAACAACACTAGATCTTACTTAACCCTTTAACACCCATGAGTGACCGAGAGAGAATTTCTCCTTACAATATCAACTGAATACAATATCAAGGATACAAGTGATGGGATTAAAGGGGGACTCTTAGTTAATCAAGGAACTCTTAGGTGATCCAATACCAGATTCTCTGAACTAACATTATAAGAATTGTACGGCAGCTAATAAGGAGAATTATTAATGAGATCTTGGGAGTGAAAGGGTTAATCGGTAAGCATAGGTAAACACAATTTAACGTTACACACTAATGTGGGGTGTGAAAGACACAACTTTACAGGAAATGTATTAAACTGATAGGTTGTTCACGAGGCCATTTCAAAACTCATTCATAAATATTTAACAAGATATATTATCATTTTCTTTTAATTTGGAATACCCCTTCTCTTTGTTCAAAAAGGAGGAAAGCTTCCGGTAGATTCGTTAGTCTATCAGGATTACGCATAGGGAACGTATTAAACGAATGACGAAAGCCTGAATTTTCCAGCAATTATTTCAACAAGTCCATCAAGGTTGATGAAATTGCAGTCGAATCGGTCTGTCAACATCGTAAGGAAAGGTTATGATTATTCATCGTGGCAAAGTACATTGATCATGACATATTGATATCTGCCCCACGATGTATCGTGACTTTATGTTACATTAAACTGTTGGTCTTTGTGAGGCCTACAGGTCGATTGAATGAGCGTCAGCTTTTGAAACATTGAGCATCGCTGTGATTATTTTGCTTTCAACCGCTACCTTGCAGGCTCTCCTGTTGTTGTGTTTTTGTTTTTGTTTTTGTGGGGCTTCCATCTATCTTAGTTATCATCTCATTAACCCATTAAATCCTAAGAGTGACCAGCATCTAATTTCTCCCTTCAATATCACTCCTGAGTCACACATTAAGGTTATAAGAGTAAAGGAAATAATCACTAGGAAAGAAACCTTTCAATAGGCAGGCAAATTCTCCTTGTCAGCACCTTAGGAAATGTGTAAAGAACAGTATGGAGAATATGCATACTGATGTTAGGGTGTATAAGGTTAATGAGCGAGTATCCGTTCACTTTGATGCCCTTACAGTAAGTAAAAGAAGAAGAAAATACGAAGTCCATGATAAGATGTGTGTAATTATTCGTCATAGCGATGATCGTAAACTCTGCGAAGTTTTGGCCCTCGGTTATGCTCAGAAACTAGAAAACAAGGAACTAGTTATGCGAAGAGAGGCCGACACACGAGAAGCAAGACTTGCACAGAAGAGACAAGAAAAAGCTGAAAAAAAGTTACAGAGAAAAAGAGATGAATTACAGAAAGAAAAAGAGAAAAGGTAGTCAGTTCAGAGATTTGATCTGCCTTGATCGACTTATAATCATGAAACTATAGTTATGTAGAACCTTTGTGACTTGCCTTTTTCCTTTTAGTACATTTACTGCTCAATCTTTTCTTTGGACGGGTTTCCGAAGTATTTTTTTTAGTTCTAGGGGTTCTTCTGTAGCAGAGTTCGAGTTGTTGTATACTAATTTCCCATTAACCGAACGTGAGGGTCGTACGGAGGAATATGACCCGACGTTATGCGCTCGGTCCGTACAAAAACGACCAAGGGCCTTGTTGTTGTTGCTGTTTCTTTTTGCTTGTTTCCTGTTCCTTTTACAAGGTATAACTGCTCTCCAAACAGATTAAACAGCCAACCGGATGAGCAAGATGAGAGGGGTTCTATTTCAGCCGTGAATGAAATTCTACCAGAGTGCTCATTGGCATTTACATTTGGGATTGGAAAAGAGGTAAGAAGCAAAGAAATGTTGTTTCGATAAAAAAAACCGGTGTCTTGCAAATTTTTTTTTTCAACCTGAAAATCGGTTTTTGAGTTTACTTCTTCTAATTGCAAGCTAAAATGCTGGTTTTTCGGAACAATGGAACAACTCCATCTTATGATTTTGAAATGTTGGCGGCAGCCAAACAAAGACGTCCTCTTGCATGAGCTAAATGCCTTTGAACGCATTTGAAAAAAGTAAGTATTTCCGACGCACTCATCAAAAGAGGCATTATGAAGACAATCAGACAAAATGCAAATTGATTGATATCATTCATTTGTAGGATTACGAAGAGATAATCAAAAGAATCTGGTTCATCTCTGACAAAGCGTTATTCAAGCGGGCTCTAAAACGAGGAATCAGCTATCATCATGGCGGATGTAATGCCAAAAAGCGCTCGGTGGTAGAAATGTTGTTCAGAGGCAAATACCTTCAGGTAAGATGCCATTAACTGTATGTAAACTGTTAAAAAGTCACGTATTTAGGTGGACTCGCGAAAGCACTTTGATTTTGAACATTTTGACGTAAAGTTTGCCGGATTCCAAAGGAAGATTTACACCTTACGGCTGGGGGTAAACAATGATCCCTATTAAAAAAGGGGGTTTCCCTCGTATCCGCTCATGGTATCATACTGAGAATTTGATTAGGCTTTTTTGTAGGAAATATATCTTCAGGCAAACGTTTAAGAACCGACCATGCGATTGGGCACACATTTAGAAATCTAGTACATCGCATTACAGTATTTATTTACTCTGTCAGGTGGTTAATTCAACTTCAACGTTGGCTCTTGGTATTCACATGCCTTGTAAGACAGTCGTGTTTGCTGGAGACTCGCCCTACTTAAATTCACTGCAGTACCGGCAGGTAAATAAGTGGGATATATCTAACTTAACTCATGGTCAGTTCTCCCTGATCGACATTTCTCTTAGTTAAGCGTTTCCGTGATTGCTGACGATTTTGTAAATTGTTCTTTCGATGTAGCTCTTTCAATCCCTAGTTAGCATAATTCAGGAGTTTCGATGAAATTCGATTACCGGCGGTCTATCGCCGCCCATAAAATCTCTCACCGTCGTCTGTTGAGTCCGCGAGTAGGCTCTCGTGTTCGGTACAGCCGCCTATTATGCCATCGAGAGCCTTTTATGGAAAACGTTTCGGAAACCCCTGCATAACAAGGTTCCCTTTACGCATGCGGCGCATAGGCTTCATAGCGTCTAATACACATGAATGCATCGAATACTTAAAGGATGACTTTTTTACATCTTACACGTATCACTGAACAACATTTTCCGTTATGGCTTTAATACTTTTGCCAATACCACGAGTGCCAACCTAGGACTTTATTTGTTATTTTCAGATGTCTGGTAGGGCGGGTCGGAGAGGTTTCGATCCCGTGGGAAATGTCATTTTCTTCGGAATTCCTTACCGTAAAGTGCAACGCTTGATGACTGCAAATATCCCGAAGCTTGTCGGCAACTTCCCCATCACTGTTTCACTGGTTCTGCGATTGCTTTTGATGACGACCCAAGCAGATGACAAGGAAGATGCCCTCACTAAGGTTTCGAAGGACTATTTTGAATGAGTTTTTTTTTACTGTTTCCTTTTTTTCAATAGACAACATAAGATAAGATATGATAAGATACCTTCAGGAAGTAAGTGTGCCTCTTGTACTCGGCTCACACCTGGTTAGAAAGACTATTCTTGCTGATATTGCAAAACAATGTTATACATTCGCTCTTACGAAGGGCTAACGCTCGAAACTTCAGCTTCTAAACTCTTTACGGTAGCCAATTTACGTTATCAACTCAGTTGATAATACTAAATTACCCGGTTATGTTAAAAAAAGTTTCTGCCATGTCACTGTTCTGCGCAGGAGATACTCCCAACCTAATTGAATACATATACTTCATAATCAAATTAAGACAAGAGAATTCGCAATTACGACTTTTACATGTGTTTACAATGTGTTTACAATGTTAAGAGTTAATTTCCATGCTCAAAATTCGTTCAAGCTACTCAGGCTCAAAATAATTATGTGTACTCGCACATCTCTTTTTCAGGCCTTAGTATTGCTGTCTAATCCTTTTATTTGCCGAAAGTACCCGCAAATGGAAACCCAGATCAAGCTACATTTCCTCTTCAGCGTTGAACTTTTAACTAGACTGGTGAGTAGTATGGACAAAGGTTTCCTATATCTCTAGTTGATACATGAGTTAATGAAAACGTTTTGCCTGCACAGTAAAAGCCTTTCTGTATACTTGGTGAGGTGTGATCTCTCACAGGAGTAGAGAGAGGACTGCCTAGGGTTTAGTAAGCTTAGCACACCATAATTTGATCACGTTAAGTGACAAATCAATATCTTGTCAATGGAACTTCAAAACCACACGAAAGCCTTCACGAAGGGATTTATAACCGAAGTCTGTAATTCCTCGTTCTTTTCCAGTCTCTTATAAACAAAGAAACCGGAGCTCCACAGGAAATGGCCGGACTGGCAACCCATCTTCACTACCATGAACCCTCCAATTATGCCCTGGTCAGTTTTCTACAATGTGGTCTCTTCCACAAGCTGTGTAAGCCAAGGAAAAACGGTAAACCTGTAGCTCCTTTCAAACTGAACGATTTATTAGACCAGTGACTAACTCAGAGCTTTTTGTAAGGATCACACTTTTCAGACGCTAGGGGAAAACGATTCCTTTGAAATAAATTTTATGTAAAATCATAAAAAGGGAAAAATATCTCTAACTTGAGAAATCAAGAGGTTTTTTTTTTTTACCCCGGAACAATAACATTCCTCGATCAGTGGTCGTGCCTGGAATCCAATTTTTAGTCTTTGTTCTCCATTACTGCTTACCTTGTAGTTCTCTGAACTGAACAATTTTTTTATATTTCAAGTTTTATTGGCAAATGTTGTATATACCTTATAACAAGAAGCAGCATCTAACATCGAGTATATGAGATGCTGAATCATGTGCCTCTGGCTTAACGCGATGGAGTAACAAAGGAGGCCCGGGAAACATACTAGGGAGTAAGGTCGCCTGGCTTTAGGGAACCTTTTTACATTTGACCATAGGCAAAGTCTACACTCGAGTGGCCCATAAGGCGCCACACTTTATTTCGGATTTGTTTGTATGAAGTGCATAGGACGATTACTAATCCACCCTGGATGGAATGTTTATCCACTACAGATCTCTCATCTCTCGCAGCTTCTTTAGTGGTTAGAAATTCCATCCGGAGGGGGGGGAGGGGGGGTGAGAAAGGTATTGTGAGGATAAAGTGTCTTGTCCAAGAACACAACACTATGACCCAGCCAGGTGTCGAACCCAGACCACTATGAACTAGCCAAGTCTCGAACCCAGACTTCCTCACCCAAAGTCTGGCGCGTTAATCGTCAGGCCACTGCGCCTCTGATTTCTGCCCAAAGGTTTTCTTTCAACTCTATTGTTATCGCCGGCGTATTACTCTTTGGTAAACTTTTTTCACTGTGACAGGTAAATTTTCCGAAGATGTTATGAGGAAAATGGTGCTTGTTTTAAGCCACTTATTTGGAAGAACTTATGTTCATCCTTCCATCATGCTGAGGAGTCCGTCTTCTTCAAAAGTAAGCATATCCTTCCCTTGGACGATTTACTGGTCTATTTTAAAAATTGGTTGGTTGTAAAGTGCGAACTGAGGAGGGGCTCATATTGAAAACGAGTTTAGTTTTGCCGCGTTATTTTGTACTTAACCACGTTTAGAAAAAAGTGCTATAGACTGCGCTTCTTTTAAAAGTTCCATTTGAAGTCTTTGAGGGTGGTCGTGGACTTTATTTAGGAAATACAATGCATTGGAAAAAACAAAAACCAGTTTTACCAAAACTAATGAATTTCTCTCCAACACTTCAAAACTACATTTTATAGCGTCTGACTGCTAAGCGTCTTAAGTGTTCAAATCATGGAAACGTTTACATTTTGGACTAAACACAGGTAATTTTGGAGGATCTACCGAATGAATTTGTCAAAGCAGTCAAAAGCTACAACCGTCAAGTCACCGATGTGTTCAGTCAGTACCTTGCCACAGTGGCTCAGTGGCTGGAAAAAGACAGAGGAGAGGATAACAAACTCCCTTTATCAGGAATAGGTAAGAATTATTTAATGTGCATTCTTGTTCGCAAAATTTTGATACTTGCTTGCACAGTAACTTGAAATATATATTTTAAAAAAATGTCACTTTGGTAAAGAGATTCCATATTGCCGTGAGTCTGTTCATTAATATATTACAGATGAGGTCAATGGTTAGAGCAAAAATGTGGCACATGAAGCGCAGTCGATCGAGTGTCAGTGATGTCGTGACCACGTTTGACCTCATCTGTGATCTATTACTCAACAGAAGCACGGAGACTTGGAATCTGTATTGTTTCTTTCTCATGATAAAAAAATGGTGATTTCATTAGTTTGTCTTCTCCCCTACGGATTTCTGTATTCGAATTAAGATGTGTACAGATCGCTGATTACAGTTGAAAAATTTCTCTTGCAGAATTTCCTACAAAAGCCAGCACTGATGACATTGACGACAACGATATGATCAAAGTCCTAGCGAACTCTTCTGTACAGTATTCAGCTTGTTCCTCTTTCGCTGCGCTATCAGGAAATACAGACTTACAGTTACAAAACACCAGCCAGAGAACAGACGACCAAAGTGAAGATGAGTTTAACAGTGATGATGAAGAATGGGAGGAAGAGCCACTTAAATATTTGCTCACGGTGAAAATTGATCCTTTCGTTTGTCACGTTTTGGTGTCCCTCTCGGGGCTCTTTCTAAGCAGACTATTAGGAAAAACTGACTCTACAATCTACAATATACCCAATTCACACCAGCAAAACGTATTTAGTTAGACCGGGTTTAACTGGATGAAAATCAGATACAGAGAAATGAAATGCTGAATTTTCCATAGCTAGGTTTCAAGTATACACTAACTTGTACTTTCCGATGTCCCAAATTTGAAGCACAACATTGGTTTTAGCAGCTTCTGTGAAGAAAACAGTTTAAAACCGTGTTTGAAACAAAAAATAGTTTTAAAACATGTTTAAGCTTGGATGTGAATGCGGTATTAGGGTAATTGGTGACGCTCTGCACTCGAAAGGAATCATTTATGGTAGAGGTATGGTATGCTAAAGTTCGATTCACCAAGCCCGAATTTTGTCGTTCGCTTTTGTTGGAGCTGAAATAATTCATAGATCCTCATTAAATTTTTGATTAATAACGAAATTAAATGACCCCGTTTTGTTTAGATCATTCGTCAGGATGTCTACACGGACATGAATCTTGTACCTATTCTCCCAGTCAAGAGTACGCTACCTTTGAATGCTTATGCTTTGGATTTTTTCAAGCATGGATCCTCCATAGTCATTGAGAACGAAAACAGGTAAGAGAGTAACACAGATTTGTTACCCATTGTGCTGAAAAAAGGTTTCATCACATGCTGTACGTAAGCATCAGTCTTTCTCCATTTGAACCGTTCTTTTTCTTTTAGTTAATCTTATTCTTAAATTTCCTCATGTGAAATAGTTGGCTTACAATAAAGTTGTCAATTTTGTTTAAGGTACTCTCCTCCTGTTAGGTAGTTATTTCCTTTCCAGGTCTCTTTTAATCTTATAAAACATTGGTTTTAAGTTTGACTATGTGCGCTGATTTCACAGAATGCAAGCTGGCGATGTTTACAATGCTCTCAAGGAGTTTTACCTCACAATTAAGTCAATCAGGTAATTCTTGTTCATTTCCAAAGAATGCGCCGGGTTCAAGAAGGTGACTGTATAGTGATGGAACACTGTCCAGGGTATCAAACAAATGTGCTTTTCTGTTGAGTTTTCCTCATTAAAGTTTGTACATACACCTATATTCCACATAAAAACCTGGCTAAAAAAATAACGTTGTTGACGTTGCCATGTTAAGCATCAAAGCTTTAGTTTTTTTTTTCCTTCTAGTGCAGGAATTATTCTCTTAATTTTTTTTCCAAGTATGATTTTAAATTTCATCACTTACTAGGGACTGTAAACTAATTTTCCTCTATCACAAAGCCTCGCAATTTGAAAGAAAGTGTAGCTTTTTTAACATGAGTAATGTACACAATTCAGTGACACTTCACAATTCTTTTTGTTTGATAAGTTATCAGGAAAATAACATGTTTTTGTTTTCTGTTTTACAGTCGTTCACTGGAAGAGCTGGGTCCTGAAACTGACAATGTAGTTTTGGCTTTTAACCAGCTGGCACAGGAGTACGGAAAGAAGTTCAAAGAGGAGTTTGAATACGGAGCATAAGAAATAACAAATTCAGGCGGTTTAGTTTTAAATTTTAAAAATGGTTGGTTGACTTTGTTTCTCATAAGACTGGTTCACAGACTCTTATAATTTGAATTACTAATAAACTTAAAGATTAAAAAAAAGAGAAAATCGATAATAATATATGAAGAGTTTCAACAAAGGTCCAGAGGGCAATGATTAGCATTGTGACTCTGAATCAAAGATGACACGAAAAATGGAGAAGTAATTGATGCTAAGAAGTAGTAAAGAGCGCTAAATTGGTAAACCTGTCCGTATCAGATGGGTTTTGCAAGGTGCCTTCTAACAGCGTCATTACAGAGCTTAAATCGACGTCCGTGTTACTACATCTTTACTCGCGAGATTTGAGAGGTGCTCGTTACGCGCGTCACGCGTGACGATCGAGTAACGCGACTTCTCTCACTCCAACACAGACCGCCACTGCCTATTCCCTAATTTGTTTTAACGTTGTAAGGTATCTCAAGGTATTTTGTCACGATAAAATTGACCGATTTTAACACAATGCTACCTTTGATTTTCACTTCATTTCGTCCAATGCTTACCGATTTCACGATGCGGCTATTCTTTAGGAACCATGCCACACGTATCCAGTGTTTCGCCCTTAAAAACGAATTCTGCGAGATTTGAAAGGGGGAGTCGAAGACTAATGATTGTGGACACAAGGTTTTTGAAAAGGTAATCAAATAAAAGCAAGTATTTATCATGTTTTATGCAAAGCGAGAGACCTTTTCACTCTTGACATAATAGGCGCACTTTCGCACAGATGCAACCCTGTGTTATTTTCGCATACTTTAACCATCCGTACCATCCTTTCATGTCTTATAACGGAACCTATGAAAATAAACGAATAATTTCAAACGTTTCCATATGTGAAATTGTAGAAGAATATAAACGAACAAACACACAAGAGACACGAAGCTATTTACGAGAAATTATGCAGATTCCAGCGCGGAATATGCGGCACGTTATCAAGAAAGTTCTTTGCACGACGAATACGGTATTTTATTGTAATAGGCAACAAAAAGTTAGTGTCGGAATGACCACCAACCTCGTTTTCAATACGAGGGTTACGTATATTTTATGAGCCTTTCCATCACTTCGTTACAAACCTTAGCGTGGACGCAACTGCCATGTGCAGCTCAATAAATCATCATGAATTTAAACTTGTATGGTCTTCTTTCGCATTACCACCTCTTCTCGTTACTTAAATTCCCTCTCGATCCGATCCTCTTTGTGATGGCGAAATGCTACAGAACCCTACTGGATCGTATCAGTCGCTGGGTTGCCACATGAGTACTTTCTGATATTTTTGAGGTGAAGAAGAAGAAGAAAACTTATCGTCTCAGAAGAACGAGGTAGCTGTTTAAAGACATTGATCTGACAGCAGAGGAGGACACCTTATCCGAGATTCTGTTCAGGTTTATAGGCTTGTTTACTTGATGTTCAGCGGTGTGTTTATTATTTTAGCAGCTTCCTCTGCTGTATATAAGCTACGACTACGCTAAGGACTACCTCGCCAAAGACTGCTTCGAACGCAAACTGGGTATGAATTGGGCTTTGAAGCCACAAGAGCCTATAACGTTCAGGCGCTGCTGTTCGAAATAAAACCATACACGTAATTGACTATAAGATCGTTTTCAATTTTACAGTTGCCACTGATGCAAGCTATGGAGCATTCAAGCTTTATTTGTTAGGCAATCGGATTATTGATGATTAAAAATCTAAAAAAAGGGCGATACAATTCGTTGTCGGATCTCTGTTTGTTGCTAGGGCTATTTCAGTGATAGCTTTCAAAGCCATTATTCCTTCAGTTGCTATCTTTTTGTCAAATAACCTAATAAGTACTTTCTTCCAGATAGTAGCAGTGGCAGGTATAGCACGCGGCTTCATGTGCCTTATTCCCTGGAACAACCTTATCGTGACGAATATTGCCAAGGATGACGCTGCAATCACAGACGCCAGCTGCCCACTCTCGCGCAAATATGTCATTTCATTTTGTAAGGAGAATGAAGGGACTCTCGTAGGTTAATTGAGCTACAAACACAGTTGGCTTTAACGCTTACTGCGATATGAACTCTGTTTCCACACATTTCCGTATACAGCCAACGTCAGTTGCTTATAAGAACTTGTACTCTGTCTCAGTACAACAGTAGTAACTAGTTTTCTTTTTCTCCCACCCTTTTGTAGAAAACAGAATACATTTACGGGACAGAAACGACGGTCTATCCCGATAGTCACACAGAGACCGTTACGCTTCGGATAACAGTAGCTGTACCGTTTTGAGAGAATACTCCTCGGATTGTCAAAGAAAACGGCCGGACTTACTTTTGAATTCACACCTTTTGAAAAAAACTGGGTACTTGAAAAATAACGTTAACTTACTTTTTTAATGGAATTTTGACAGTAAACAAGACATAAGTAAATAACGTATCGTATCGGTACGAAAACTTTGTGAGTCTTCAATTTCGTGTTTTTGCGATTGTACAAAAATCGCGAAATTGAAGACTCGGAAATAAAAATCCTCGCAGAATTTTAACGCGTGAAATTTTTTCATCCATAGAAAATTCAAATCACCGGTAAAAAAAGATTAACATATAATAACCACACCAAATACAGAACATGTATCGACAAATACACATATCATTTAATGATGGTCTTACTAGTAAATTCTATGTTGGATCTTCTGTTGTGAAATGGCGTTAAACTGCAAAGATTTCGAGTATATATAGTTCAGAATCCTGCTATCATTTTCATCTGAATCGCTAGATTCGGAAAAAATCCTTCGAATATCTTTCGTTAGTCGTCAAAAGTGAAGACATTTTGGAAAATAAAATGAAGTTGAGAACGCTTGAATTGCGAAATTTGACGCTATTGTCTTTACGAAAATAAACCCCGAGAAATACAGTCTCGCCAAAAGCGCCAAATTAAGTACCAATGAGGTAGGTTATAAAATCAGTGCACTTTTGTAATTATGAGTAAAGTGAATCTGATTTTGAACGTGGGTTTCATAGATATATGCTCACTTGTTTTTGTAATTGTGGTTAAAACGAAGTATTTAGGTGAATAGCCCTACATGAACACTTAAAAGATTGTACTTTTTGTTATCATATTACTGGCAGCGCCCGTGGACGCTATGAAGCGAATACTGTGTTCTGGGCTATCCAAGCTGATCTTTCCCGCTATCATTCCGCGCAAGGAAAGATACATTCCTATCGCTTTGTCACACCAAAATGATTTTTTTAAGGGAGGAATATTACTATCGCTGCTTTGAAGTTGACTCGCAAAGGTAATCACGAGTTTTATCAGAAGACGATTACGGTTGCAATTTATTGTTTACTCTCCCTTTAGAAAACAAGAGTTTTTCGCATTAATATCCTATGTTTGTCCTAAAAAATTATAGCTTCAAATTGGTTAGCAATCGGCAAATCCTTTCTTTCGTTGACTTGGCGATTTTTTAAGGACACTTAATCAACTTTTGGAGGGACCATTTCAAATATCCGCATCGAACTGCTTTCTAAACTTGTTTCCATACTCCTCGACGAGCTGTTTGAAAGCTGCAACCACATTGTCGTATTCCTCTTCAGGACACATCTCCTCAAGAGAAGCACTGAGAAGAAAGAAAAAGTTCAAAGTTATTTCCCTAACAAATACCCTAATACTCCCTGACTTAAACTTAGCCAAGATCTCCTGCCATGCGACTTTTAAAATTTATCGTTTAATTTCTTTGTGGCTGCAGCTGGACGAAACATTAAACTGAAGTGTCTGTAGCTTTCATCCACAATAGTTGGAACTTTAAAAAAAACTACATCAACAACAGCAACACTAAACTCATTGTTTTTTTGTGTTCTCATGTACAACGTTTACCTTTATACTCGCCCTTTACAAACATCTCGTACAGTTTCGTTAAATTATTAGGACTGAATGTTTCACTAGTCGTAGAACATTGAAACATCAACACTGCATCACGTACAACTATTTTTTACCTGATTGACATAATGGTAAAGACAAAATCCTTTAAGATTTGAAAAACTTCTCCGGCCTTGATTCTACGAAATAAACGTGCAATCGACTTCAGTTAGCTATGCTTAAAGACAACTCCTAAAGATCCGTATGAACAGTGGTGGAATGTGGGTCACTGGAAGATATGCAAGCCTATAGCAGGTGGTTTCCTCGAATCTTTTAGCTAACCGCACCCAATGTTAACCTGTACGGTACGCTAGCCATGGGGATTAGCTTTACGGTTAGTTCACAATACAGTTTTTCCCCCTAATATTTAGCAATAGTCAAAGAAATGCTTACGTATAAAGGAAGACTTGAGGGGTTAGTAAAAATTCCTAGCCAGTTGACTTATAAATGTCACAGGGTTCTTCAAAGCATGAAGCGACTAAGGGTAACGTGGAATGGGTTGGTCCACTGTAGGTTGTCTAAGCATGTCAGTGGATTTCTCTAACTCTTTGTACTCCTAGATGACGAGTGGCACTGTAATGAAAGCGTTTAGCGCTAAAGACCGATCTCTTCTCGATCCAGCGATCAAGATGCCTCCTCGCTTCCCTCACTGGAGTACTATTTGCAAATATATCTATAATTTATTTACTGACCCGTTTTCTTTCTGAATGGCTTTAACAGACCCGTGCTTGAAAAAATCCAGAGCATATGCATTCAAGGGCTGAACTCTTCCAACTGAGTTGCAGTTTTTTAGACGGAGGATGGGAACAATATTGATGTCGGTGTAAACATCTTGTCGAACAATCTGAAAGAAAAAGTGGAAGCTGAATTTGGTAACGGTGTTAAACTGGTGTTGCAACTACTTAAAATACCACACAACGAAACAAAATTTGATTGCAAAGTTCCACGCTAGACCGTTGTTAAAATATAGGAAAACTTTTAAAAAGTTATAAAAACTGTTCGTAAAGCATTTTGATGACGTTTCGACGATACTTCACGGGATTATAAAGTCCAGAGTGAAGAGGGCAAGTGAAAACCAAATATAGTGCTAAAAGAGAATGGGAAGATTATTTTCTGATGGGTATAGTTCCAAAGGTGAAAGAACTGTTTGGTAAAAAAACTTATCTTATGCAACTTTCTCAGAATCAAAAGTGTCAGTTAATAAATTTAACCAGTCTTTGATCGCTTAGGTTGTTTCACCAAATGAAGTGCAAGCACGTTCCTCATGCTTTTTCAAGTATACTTTAATGACTAATGTATGACTCGTTGCATTTACATACTGACTATAGCGCCGCTGACAATGTACCAAGGGCGCAGTTTCCCACGCCATCTGCGTTGCTTCAGCGTTACTTGCAGTCTCTTTTTGCCGTTTTTGCCGAGTAAGTTTTAGGGTAGGATTTCAGTCTTTGTAAGAAGCAACAACTTCAAATCGTCTAGATCCTCATTTGTCATTCGTAATGATTACCCTGTACAAGAATACAAGGAATGTGGACGCATAGAAGTTGTTGTGTCGTATTTATTTTGCTAAGCGTAGCTGGCCCCTGCAACGAAAGAGCAAAATGCATGCATCCTAGCGAAATTACGTCGAAAGTGTTAGAGAACTTTTTCAACATTTTAATGAACGCTTGGTTTTGTGAAACTTTTTTCACCTCAAGCAGATGATCAATTCGTTCTTCTTCCTTATCTTCTTCATCATTTCCAAGCTCAACTGTCACGTTCTCGTTGGCGACTTCGACATCTCTTTCGTCTGATTCCGGATAACTGGCTGCGGTCTCGCTCGAAGAATGCAATTGTAAGTCTGAATTTCCCGACAATGCAGCGAAGGAAGAGCAGGCAGAGTACGGTATGGATGAGGACACGAGCCTTTTGATAACATCGTACTTGTCATCGTCACCGACACTTCCTTGCTTTGGATATTCTGCAAAAGAAGTTTACTCCGTTCGGTAAATAAGAACGTTTAACTTAAACATTGAATTTACCTAAGTTTTGTGTTTAGGTTAACCTTGCTCACGAGTTTGTCTCTATCTTTTGAACCATTTCCATAGGTACAGCGTACAGCAATTAAATAATGTACTATGCACTTCGTATAGGAATGTGGACTGAAGTATGTAAGCCAACGAGAAGGGCCTATTTAGCCCAGAGTGAGAAATTTACCAAGAACTATCCCCTTCGATCCAATAATATAATGACCAAAAATGCACCAAGCCTTCCTCTTTGCAGTTGCACAGAATTGACTCGTCAGTGTCGCTTGCAAAAAACAAACAAACAAACAAACACTGACAGAACAAGTTAAGTGTAATTCTTATCAAAGCCGTGAAATACAAACAATTGTTTTCACGAGAAAACATAGCCTTGCAATGCGAAGGAACTGGCTATGAATCTACTTAAATATTTTACTTCCCGCTCGAAAAAAAAATGGTCACATATAAGATGATAAAGGATCGTATTTTACCTATGCCCGATAAAGGGAGTTTGTTCTCCTCTCCTCTTTCCTGTTCGAGGTCTGCAGCCACCGCAGTGAGGTACTGACTGAAGACATCTGTGACTTGGCGGTTGTACTCTCTTAGAGCTGTGGCAAATTCATTGGGAAGACCGTCCAAAATTACCTTGAAAGGAAAGAGATACCAAGAAGAAAACCGAAAAATAAGCAGTGAGAAGCATCTGTTTTCAAACGCATGAACCCAGTTTTTCAAGTGATGGATGACTCTATCCGACAGATAAATTTCCATCCAGTGGATAAGTGTTGACAAAATTTACAGTGTTATCCACCGGATAGAGATTTATCCAGCGGATAGCGTTATCCACCCATTAAACAACCGACAAGTTTTGATTTTTCTTAGTACTTTTCTTTTGTAATACTCATTTTTTAGTTGAGAAAGAACTCTCTCTCTCCCAATACAGACCTTGTATTTCTCTTCTAACTCGCCATTTAATGGCCACTTCTCTGAAAAGGCCAAATTTACCTACACTAAAGAACGGTATGATTAAAGATATTTTTGGTAAGCATTAGGGCCGGCGTTAAGATCGAGTGATAATAATGATTAAATTCGTTATTATGATACGTTATCATTAATACCAAATGACAAAAACTAACACAATTTTTCCCAATAAAGCGTGTTAAAACAGCCTTGCATTTTTAAGATTTACAAATACATACTTTTGACGTGGGGCACAAATGGACCGTTCGTTTGAATGAAGCGTGAAGGGATCGTCTGCCGAACAAGTGGCTTAGAACGAGCACCATCTTTCTCAACACGTCGTCTGAGAATTTTCCTGTGATAGGAATCAATAGTATGATATCATAGTGATTTCAATCTTCCATAACCTGGGTTGGAGGCTGTGAATATTTGTATTCTAAAGGAAAATAAATAGTCCTTACCATTCTCTTCCGGTTGACAGATCTTGTGGAAAAGACCACGTTGAAGGAAACTGACCAAGACATAGTTTGAGGGCTCATGATAGTGAAGATGTGTCGCCAGTCCTGCCATCTGTAGAGGAGCGCCGTTTTCTTGTTTTACAAGACCCTGCATAAAAAGGTTTTGCAGTATTTAAGCGAGTTTAAAAGTTTATAGTAAGACCGTTGAACTGCAAGAGCGAGTATGTGATCACCTTACTTGAAGCAAATATACAAACTGGTAACCAAGGAAAATAAGGATAGCTGCTACTAGCAAAACATTTCTAACTTGCCCCTCATTTCTACGGTGGAAAGGATCTGATTTTAATACTTACCAATCTGGTAAGGAGCTCGACGCAGAATAAGAAATGTTTCTTGATCTGGCTCTCCATTTCGGGGTGAGTGATGGAGATGAAAGGGTGCGACAGCAATGAGAGAGCCTGGAAACGAGAGTACGTGCATAACTTGGTGTGTTCATGAATTGATTGAGAATCGATCAATTGGGATTTCGCACATTACTGTGTGAATGAGACTAAGGACTGACCGTTGCTTCACGTAAATTTCGTAAAATATCACCAGTAGGTTTTAAATTATGTCTCCAATGATATAAGTTCTAGAAGTTCATTTCCTCGTCTTTTTAGTAACTGAGGATGAAGAAGGAAAGTACTTATATGGAAGACTTCAAACAAGCTGTAACTGTTATCAGACGACACAATTTATATCACGTTCAGTGCGAAAAGAGCTGATTATTGATAAAAACTGGCGACAATTGTACAAAGTATTTAGCGCAAAAGGAATAGGCGAATTATTGGAGAAGAATTTTAGAGGCGTCTTTCCCAGAAACCTTCGTGAGGGCATCCTCCCGATCATCTCCCTTTGATGTCATCAGAAGCAAGCGCAACACCAATGATACGTTAATGGGGAAGTTCCCAACAATCTTTGGAACATTGGCTGTAATGAGACGTTGAACTTTACGGGAAGGAACTCCAAAAAACACTACATTTCCTACAGGGTCAAAACCTCGACGACCTGCCCTGCCAGACATCTGAAATTAGAGAGATGAAAGAATGAGATTAAGTCCAAATTTAAATTAATATACATATGGAAAAAAAACAAACAAATCTGGTTGAAAAGTGACGTAGTTATGATTATTGAAATACTTTGATGAGTTTAGAAGTCTAATAGGAGTACTGAAGGGAAAACGACACCTGGACACGGTTAGATCTACTTTCAGGTAAAAGAGATATTAGAAAGTACTCTGTCCGCACCGATATAATTTTTATACATGTCGTTTATTACGGACAAAGAGAGCTATATGCAAAATAGTCTTATTTGTGGTAAACGTTATCTTTGAGGGTGCTTCTTTTTGTTGGAAACACGTTGCTACCCTGCCTGCCTCATTCTTTTTCGTTCTATGAAATTACAGACACCTGCTGTTTCACTGGGTTCGCTTGTCTGTGGGAGAGATTTGTTTTTCTGTAGGAAAAAAACTTTTTTTTGAAAGTGTTCTTACCTGTCTGTACTGCAAAGAGTTTAAATAGGGTGAATCTCCAGCAAACACGACCGTTTTACAAGGCATATGAATACCAAGGGCCAAGGTTCCTGTTGCTGTAACGACCTAAAACGAACAAAAAAGACTCCCGAGTCTTTATATACTGTTCTGTTACTATATTTTTTTCATCGAGACGTTTACAACTGTTGAGGTAAATAGATTTGGTAAGACAAAGGGGAAAACAGAAACTAACCAAAATGTCAAAAAAGGTTTGTGCAACAAAGGCCATCGGTTGCAGTTGATAACAGCATACCAAACTAGTGCGATACTAATGAGGCCACTGTGTCCTTGCTTTTTATCTTTTTCTGATATTTCACATGTATTTTCTTTCTTTTTTTCCTGCCATTTAAACTTCATTCTGGTTTGGGCAAGAGTCACACATCTTTTTAAATCGTATTTTAAAACAGCCCATCACACAATGTGTTGCAAGTAATTTTAGACAATCACTTTAAGAAAAAGCTATGCCTCAGAGCTATTTACGATGAGGTTAGAAAAAAAAATTATTTCTCCACTTTATCATTTAAACGTCCACCTTCGTTTCTAGATCGAATAAATAACAAAGTAATACCTGAAGGTACTTCTCTCTAAATAAGATCTCCACGGTGCCGCGAATTTTGTTTTTCAGTCCAGCGTGATGATAACTTATTCCTCGTCTTAAAGCTTCCTTTAAAAGTGAATAGCCACGCATGTACCAAATGCGATGCATGATCTTTTGTAAATCCTACAGAGTAAATGGCCAACCTCAGTTAAGGGAAACTTTATCAAAAAAGTCTTTACCTAGGGGCCTTTTAGTCACATAATTCGTAGTCTGATCATCCTTTTTGATGTAGTCTATCTTTGTCCTCTGCTCAGGTGATTATAGAAATACGCGCTCTGATTTCACTATAATCACCTCGCGCAAGGTGATTATAGCAGGGATTCTTAATATTCAAAATGGCTACCTCGCATGTTGTCCACGTTACGGAGGAAGTGATAATCTCTTTTCAAAGATAAGATATGTTTTTTTTGCTGATTAAATTAATTAAAACCCATTAAACTTTAGTGGAAGGTGCTTGCTTATATGTCGATAAACAATTATTCACTTCAGGCTAGGTGAATATTATTAAAAAATTCCCTCGACCTCGTTTCAGGTATGTTTCAAAAATATTCACTTCGCCCTCGGTGAACAATCGTTAAATAATATTAAATATATAGTTGCCGGATGCCCCCTACCTCGCTTCCAATTTTGTGTGTAAAGGCAACTGTACACGCTGGTAAAGGATCATTTAAGAACGAAGAGTCTTTCTCGTACTGTTGTCTTACTTGGTCGTCCAATCTGTTTAGAGAACAAGCCCTCAAGTCTTATATCGTTTGTCATCATAACATGACGGACTCGTTCGCATACATATTGAATGGAATCTAAATGGCACTCGACGAGATATATCATGCAGTTACTATTTAATTTGTTTCCGTTTACCTTTCTTCGTTTGTACTCTCTGTCTCTTCATCTCTCAGCCTTTTAAATTCCTTGTTCGCCTTTTTTACCCTCTTTTCGGCAAGCTTAGAGTCTTTCCCTTTATTCTGGCGTTTAATAACCTCCTCTCGTTTTTGAAAGTGCTGAGCGAGACCAAACGCCAACTCTTCGCAAAACTTGCGGTCAAAGCTGATAAAAACAGAGGTATATCATTAATAAAGCCCACTGAGCGAGATAGCTTTTTCGGTATTTACTCAGTTATTTTTTGTTAATATACCTTCCACATAACGTGAGTTTTCATCATTTAAATACCATTTGTTTTGAACGTTCGCATTTTTATTTTCGGAACATGAGTCCAACTTATGTGCATCGTTCCAATTTGTATTCTGATCGTCATTTGCCTTTTCCTATTGTCTTTCTTTCTCTATCCCTTTTTTTTCAGTGTGGCTGACACAAAAACCAAATTAAAGTTAAATCTGAATCCCTTGTTATGCATGTCACTGAACGACAACCCCTTTCGGTGATACAGTATGCGGTATATTACCTGAAAATAAGCGCTGGCAGTTTTTTTTGAGCCTTAAGTTGTTCCACGAGCTTTGGGAAATTTTTCCAAATGAAAATTTTTCCCGACGAAGGCATTCCTAGCTGAGTCCATTCCTCTTCAGTCGAAGCCTGTTTCTCCAGCAAAATAGAATTCAGTGACTGTAAAACGGCTTCAACCTGGAGCAACAAAATATGACTTAAAGTGATTATAATAACAACAGCAGAAGTAACACTTAAGTTAGTAAATCAGTTAGTAAACGAGCCCAGGAATAGAACGTAGGGATATAATTTACAGGAAATGGTATGAAGACCTGTAAAAATGCCAGCTTATCCCTTTAAAATAGTATTTCACCTGAACATCGCACCTCGTGCTCCGTAGGGCCTCCGTACTATGTACCACCGATACAACAAAGAAATAATGTAAAGAATGTAACAGATTTGTGTCTCGCTGACGTCAGGTCAAACAGTCGTGATGTTATTAGAGATACGATTCATTAGAGTAATAAGCAGAAAAGAAGGACTCCAAATGCTAGGGTCTACAGGGCTTTAATCAGCGTCAAAAAAGTTTTTTATTCATCAATGCAATGGCAAACAACGCTAACACATCACAATCGCTGTGCAACGAATTCTTTGCCAACATTCCCTTTACCTTCTCAAAATGTTTTTCATCGGCCCAAGACTTGAATTCTTTCTTCAGGTCCTTTTCGTACTTTCGTGCGCAGCTCTTGTCAATGAACTTATTTTTCTCGAAGTACCTCTCGGGGGAAAGTTTCTTGAAAGAAAACACAAAATAACAAGCTTGGGTCACCAAGTCGCAGTATTCTCTGGACTGTCAGTATGAAAACACCATTATTTGAGACTTTTTGGAATCTAGTCTTACTTCAGCTAGCTTTACAAGATAAAAAAAAAAATAGCCCAGAACGATACGAGCTAACCCTCTAACGACCATTATCACAGCTGACAGGCATGCAACTGTAACGTGTAAGACCGAACCTTATTTAAAAGCTACGTACTTACCTGCAAGGATTCTTTGTCTGGCCAGTGCATAGTCATAACATCAAAAAGTTGTAGAGATTCTCGAGGAGTGAAATCCATATCTCTTGGGAAGGAATTCTCTTGTAGCTAATTGGAAACAACAATTTGTTACTCGAAGAATCTTTAACGATGGTCGAAACATGGAACTGTTTCAGTTGACGGTCGAAAAACCTAACGCAAGGTAATCACTTTGGCCAGTTAGAGCCAAAATTAACGTCATTATTAGCCGCTGAAAACTTGAAGAAAAGAAAAAAAAAAACTAAAGCGCGAGAAAACGAGGGCGATTAACTCACGATTTGTTTTCGCACTACTTATGATTGGTTTAGAAGTTGGTGTACGTTATCTTATCTAGACCAATCACAGACCCAAATAAAGCAAAACAAGCAATCCCAGATTACTTGCGACACTCAGTTGAAAATTGCTCTATTCCAAAAAAGATTAAGTGAAAGAGGATTGGAAGCAAAAGATGTAAAATACGTCTTATAGGAACTACAGGAAAGATACAGTACTGTTGTAAGATTCGCCCGAAGAAGGTTACAAAAGCAATTATGACGATTAATAATGGTAATAGGACCGAATGTAGTCCAATTCGGTCTGCACTCATACAAGTGATTAACAAAATCGGACGACCGCGAAGCAGGAGTCTGATTTGATAGTCACGAGAATGATTACAGACAGAACTGGACGACACGAAGTCCTGTTACCGATTAATCAAAACTATGAAAAAATTTGAGAAAGAAACTAGTCATCAATTATACGTTTTCATAAAAAGAAAACAACAGTGAACTCGGCGGAATGCGAGACAACAGCCCGCGCACATGACGTGTTCTGACCACTTACACAAGCATGACTTGTTTCTTGTCCCTTTAACTGTTCTATTAGGCTGTCCAATTACAAGTATGACGCTTACACTGTCCTATTAATGCTCAAATCGGGCTGGTGATAACCAATCACGGTCGGGAATTTTGTTATAGTTTTGATTAACCATAGGATTTCCATATCTCTTTTTAGTAAGGTATATATAACCAATATCACAAAATACATGTGAGAACTCATGGACTTACAATCTTACGTTTGGTAAGTTTCTAATTTTTTTTTGCGAATTCGTAGATCTCTTCAGTATTTTAATAAAACTTATTCTCTTCAAGCTGACCTATGGCAGTTCTGTACTTGACAGTTCACCTGTTTTGCTGCAAGCTGAGCACAAGGGTGAAGCCTCGCAAACTCTCCAGTCGCTTTGACATCGTAAGTACCCTCGTATTTCCTGGACTTTTCAGAGAATCCACCATTACTAGGACTCGGAAGGTAAACACTCTTCTCCAGATCTGAGTATCGTTCATGAAAGTGAACTAAAAAATATACCAGAGATGTGTTGTTAGACCAATTTTTGGCATGGGGGTGACATTCGTTGACCCTCTCACTCTCAGGAATAACCAAAACAGAATTTCTCCTTACAATATCAATATGGTTTAAGAATTGCAGTCGTTTCGCCAAAGAGTTGTTCAGCTAACGACCAGGTTGCTTACGTCTTTGGTCGTTTCGGAAACCTAATTGTCTAGATAAGGTTGAAATGGAGTTTTGAGTTTTTGGGTCAATCCTAATGCGTAAACTTAAGCATTGCAGATTCAAAGACCATATAAGGCCCCTCCATGACTCTCTGAGGTAACGGATTTATTTTTTCGCTTCACCTAGTCTGATTCTGTAGGACTCTCTCATCTGGCCATTTTCTTGTTTGTCTTGCTGCTCTCGAAAGCTTTGAGCGGCTTGCAACCACCTACAAAACAAAGAACGTATGATTCACCTCGTGATTTAATTTGAAAATGCGTGACTAACTTGTATACGTTAACATCGTTTTAACATCGGCGTAACGGGAAAATTTCGTAGGATTCAATAGTACACATTTTATTTTGTGCACTTTGCAACAGTTCTCACCTTGTAAGGTCATCTGGATTTCCAATGGTTGCCGAAAGCGCCAAGAAGGGACAGCGAATGAGAAGAAGAAGATGCTCCCAGACTTCAGCACCAATTTCTTGACCAAGACAGTGAACCTGCAGAGTAAAGGTATGGGAGAAATTTTGGCTTAGGTATAGCCTGAGTGCACAGGTAAAACAGTAATTTTGTTTTATTTTCTTGGAACGATGCCCAAAGTTTGCTCAGCTTGAGTAGTAAGCTTTTGTTACCTCGAATCTCAGAAAAAACATTTTAACGACCTTAGGGCAACTTTTATTATTTTCTCCCTGTATCCCTAGGTAGAATTGACCCTCCAACCATCCATATTCCAACATCCAATGCTACTGCCATCATTGAACCAAATCTAACAATGACTACTGTTTATGAAAACACCGATGAAGGTCAAAAGTCTACGAATTGATTATGAACGAACGTTAATGTGAACTAGAATTCTTTAAGAACTTGGTTACATAACTTTAGTAAAAGTGATATATCTACATTATTCAACGAGGTAACACTGCACAAAGTACACATCGTAGTAACATCTCAGCGTTAATTCTGTCTTTTCCACGCTACAACTTTATTACGAAAAATTAAAAAGTGATTATGCGAAAATTACTTTCAAGAAAGTTCATAGTTATTTTACCTCATCGAAGATTACGTATCTAATGTTTTTCGTCCAATCTTGTCTACGAGGCGAGAGAAAAAGTATCTCCAAACATTGAGGGACTGTAACAAGGATCTGCCGGGAATCAAAAGACAGAAATGAAAAAAGTTACTCTATATATCCTATTTATACTTCAATCCACGAGCCAAATAGAGAGAAATTTCAAAAGGGAAAAAAATACGATATCAGTTAAATGAAAGAGTTTTCAATCAGACAATGATTCCATGAAATAATTTATGTTTATTGTATTTTGTCAAGATCACTCATCATAAATGTTGTTCCTCAACGACCGCGTGTATTTTGTTTGCTTAGAAGTGATGAGATTCCTTTTTGTCTCGAGTGCTTCTTGTCACGTTTGCTTACCTGAGAGTTCAACGTGTTGTATCGATAATCCCTCGTGAAAACACCATACACTGCCCTTCCCTCTGGAAGATTTTTACGACGAAAACGAGCGTAAACTGTAGCAGCAACTTGATTCACTAAGGCCTAAATGATTAATGCATCAGTTTATACCTACAAAATCAATTAATACCTACAAAATCCAAAGCCGGAGTAACTTTACGATAAGTATTGAATATTTGCCACTAATACAGACGTCACATCCTTTAACACGTTTTAAACGAGATGCCATATTGAGGTATAAAATCAGTTTACGCTAGATCCGGTGGGAATAAATTATGTGAAAGGCAGTTGCACAAGGCAACCATTTACGTCGAGGCCAAGTGCCTTTAGGCGGCTGCATTTGACGAGACGAGGTCGTTCAGCTATTAAGGATCACTTTAAGAGGACTTGATAAACTAAATGATCGTAGCTGGTAACTTCACCTTCGTTGGGGAAACATAAACCACCACACCATCATTGTCTTGAGTCAGCACTTTCTCCATGCAGTAGTATGAGGCAAAAGTCTTTCCCGACGAGGTGGGTGCCACTATTACCGCTGACTCGTTGTTATCCACAGCGTCAAGAAGTTCACGCTAGAAAATATTTGAATAACCACAAAATTAAGCAGATGAAGAGGAAACTACGACGAGATGGAAGCGAAATTCACGCGGGGGAGATTTTGTTGGTTCTCGTTCTAGAATATGTTTCCATTGAAGTTCAAGTATTTAAGCATTTTAACTGTTGTTCTCCACTGAACTTAACCACCTCTTCTTCTCCTCGACGTTTGTCACGAGAGATTTAATTCGTATTTAGAGAGTAAGAAAAATATTACTACCTGCCATGTATCGGGAATGAAGTGGTCAACCCTCGAGTCACGATCAGTTCTTGTTTCCCGCTTGAGTAAATGGCCCATGTAGTCAAGTTGGAATCTTGCGCTTGTAGTGTGGACCGATAGCTGTTGCGCCTTAGGTGATAAATTGGGCATAAACAGTCAGAAGACCAAAGAGGAATTTACTTAAATCCCGAGTGAAACGGTGCACTTTTATGAAACGATTGACGTGGTGCGTGCACTCCCATCAGTCGACAGGCTTGTCAAGTTTTGAGCATATAAACACGGTTGCGACGTTTTAGATTCGCGTGCATTTCGCAAAACTATTTTATTAAAGCAATAAGGGGCTTTCTCCATGTTCAGATAGCCTCATCTAAACACACAGAACACCGAGAGAATTCTCGAAACTTGAGCAAGCCCTTAACTACATTTCAGTTTAACGTGAGTATAGCTGATTTAAACTCAGCAGTCTCCTTATTCTTCAGATAAAGCTATATAAACACGGAAAACTGAGATTTCTCGGACTATATAGCTCTCTAAGTAAACTCTCTTAGGAGTTGCTGCAAGCAATAGTGGTAGTTTGTTGCATTGCCAGTAGATCTGATTCACTGACCACGTCTCTACGGGAATTTGTCAATCACAGCTATGTTAGTATCATTTACTTTCAACAATTATTACGGTGCAATGTTGAGGCAGTATCATAAATTCCATGATTACTTAAAAAACGAAATGTGCAGCAGAAGAGGATATCATGTTGAAAAAGTTTTGAGTATACGAATGCTTTGTGGCACAGAGGTCTTTAGATTTCATAACACTATTTATCTCTTAGTAATCAGATACAGGGAAGAAACAGCATAAAGCCAAAGCTTGTTTGTAAAGCTTGTTTGATCTGACGATACATACTTTTCTCTCACTTTCTTCAGGTAGATCGTTAAGCGTGGCTGCGATGTCATCGAATCCCAGCTTCCGCGTAAATCCAGCCAGTTTCTTTTTGTCTTTGTCGGTGAGAAGGCTGTGGAAGTCTTCAGCCATTTTCTGAACACTCTCTAGCAGCAGTACAGGATATTTCATGTCATTAGATCCAGCGTTAGCAGCTCCTACAGGATACAAATGGCTGCAGTTTGGTTTTGGTAGTTTTGTTTAATCCCAAACTTGACAAATGAAAAGTAATAGCAAAATATACATCAGGGAAAAAGGGAGAGCGATGAAAGAGAGAATTAAAAAAAAGAAAGAGAAATACATCCTGCTCGTACTCAGAATTTGGCGGTTTAAGAACACGTTAATGAAACAGGACACATTTCTGTTTGGGACCTTGTTAACTTAATTTATTGATCGTACCTCTCACTGGTACAAACTAGAGTTAGAGAACCTATTCACATAAGACTTCATCCTAATAACATCAATAGACATAAAAGAATCGAAATTCTTGAAGCATGGATGCCTTCTATCGGAAAGCATAGCAGCCGATCAGTTGCAAAACAGACCTATGAGGCAACAAAATCCAATAGTCGGAGTAATGACGAGGATCGAAATGCACCAACAATAACGCGCCAAAACACACCAATAACAACGAACCAAGGTGCTATAAATAGCGAGATGTAAACTTTCAGTCGAAACTTCGGGATCAATACACGATTTAATACTCTTGCTCTAAAATCATGAGAGAAACTGTTAAATGTTCATTTACCTAACGATAAATATATCTCTCATTTTTCAAATTTGCTTCTCAGACTTTATCCAGGCATCAAAGCTGAGAGAAAAAGTTCAAAAGATAATGAAATCGATTCACTCTTCACTTTTTCACCTACTTGTCTGCTGCCAGGCTCCAAGGCAACTTTGTGCCTTTTTCATCAGCGCTTGAAGGTGAAGTTCGGGAGTTTTGCAATCCGCGAGATACTTATCGACTAACTGCAAAACAGTGCTGAAGTTGTCCTTCTTCAGGTTGTTGTCGATGTCTTCAAGAAAGTTGCTCCATTTTTCTTGATCTCTTTGTCTTTCTTCATCTGCGAAAAATTTAAGTAAGAAACAACATGTTTTGGTCAGTTTCCTTAACATTAATTTTAGAACAGGTGAACAACTTCTTATGTAGAATCCTTCACCAAACTTTTGCCATCCATACCCTTCTTTTTCTTATTACAACTTATGCCAAACATCATTTTATGCTCTAAGACTGTGGTAAGGGATACCATTTTACAATACATACCGTGAAATTCTCACGATATTGCCCAATTACGGTACTTCAGAAGTGCTCAAAATATTTTAATGATTTAACTCCATAAATTGAAACTTTACTAAGAAACAAACCTTTGCGTTTTTTTTTGTTCTGTTCGATAATTCGCTTTGCTTTTTCTCCCTGCAAAAGATAATTTTCCTGAGTTGAGTCTGGCTAAACACATAAAAAACTATTGGGGAAACAATTTAGACAAAAGTTTGATAATAACAAATATTCCCACCATCTTTCCATCCTTTTTCTTTCCTTTCTTCTTCTTTGGAACCTCTTTCTTGACGGTGATAATTTTGGCATCGTCTATACCACCAACAAGAGAGTTTCCATAAAATCTATTATAGCGAACGTACGGCATCTTTTGTCTAAAATATCTTTTTCTTTCTTTGGGGTCAGTCGGAGGCTTATCTGAAGAACGAATTAGTGAAATTTTGAGTTCATAGTTTGCAACACATGGCTTACGGTATTTTTGGAAAGGTTTTTTCGACCAAACGAAATTCCTTAATTAAGAAGAAGTTGGATGTAACAGGTAAAATAAAAAAGCTATATACGACAATTAAAACTGCCATTTTATTAAATCCGGTGACCTTTTTTTTTATGAATGAGAAGTCGTATGAAGGCGAATACATTTCTTGAGTTATGGGCGTGAGTGATGTTTTTTTTCGTAATTTTACGAACTGTAAGCGAGTGTGATTAACTGCCTTTCAAAGCAACACGATTGACCGACAATAACAAAAAGCCAGAGCAGTTCTCGCTATTTTTGGTTCATTCTATTCTTTAAAAAAATAGTAACTGCCGTTATTTTAGTCTGTAAGTCTTCGGGGGCACTATTCAGAATGTGCTCGTTAGTTTTTGTATTAATCATTATACACATCTATTGCTCTGCCAAACCAATTTTAATTGTTTTCGAAATATCTTACAAATGAAAAAAATTCATCCACCTTTAAAAGCTGAATTTCGGAGTACATGGCGGAATCCCGTAGTGCACCCTATAATCTACTTATTCATTCTTCATCGACCAATCAGGAACAACAAATTTTGTTGAATATATATATAAAAAACTTTTTACAGTGCAGGTTCCCATGCTTGGCCTTCAAAGCCTCACCCTTAAAAGCCTGCTTTGTCCTGTCGAAATCATCAGATAGTGGCTTCAGAGAATGCCAGTGGTACAGCTCATCAAATTCTTTGCCAATCGGAAACACTTCGTCTTTGGTCTCGTCTCTGAAAGGGGAAAATTGAACAGCCTTCTCTGAAAAGATTATTTTCTCACGCAATTCAATAAAACATGCAGGGTACTTTGAACTTTGAATGACGTAAACATTGTTGTAAGGTCTTACTCAGCCATGGCGTTGATTCTTGATCTAATATCACCAACGTACTCATTCACAAGAGCACTTCCAACGTATAGTAGCCTTTTGAGCTTCGCGCTGGAGTCTTGATCAGGACTTGTTCCTGAAACAAATACTGATGATTTCACTAGATGTCCGTCAATCTCATTGAGGAGATTCTGACAGAGCCAGACTGTACCTTTAAAATACCATTTTCTAAAAAAATGAACTAACTAGATTAATTGAAACTTGCAGCTTGCAAAATTTGACATTTTTTTCCCTTTCCATATTGAATCGCCAATTATTTTGATCTCGAAAGAGAAAAGTTTAAAGCTTTTTCAGACAAGAAAGGGACAAGAAATACTGTAGGAACCATTCACATCCAAATGATTGTATTAAATGCGTAGAAAGCTACCGTGGAAAAATTAAGTCGAATTTTACTTACCTTCCTCGTAAAGGAGGCTTGTAGAACTTTCGTCAAAAAATGGAAAAAATCGACTTTCTAGAGAATCTGAATGACATGATCCATTCACAAGAGCGACAACTTTCTCCCATGCAGACTCAACATCTCGTTTAACATCCTGGGGTAGACTGAGGTCTGATGCATATGACAAAACATATAGTTGCCTTGAAATCTTTGAAAGAACGGTCACTGACAAGGGCGAAGGATCTCTATGTTTTCGTATTCATAGCTGTTTACATACATTTAGCAGGACAACGCGGCGTGTTGACAACAATTTTGCATTGTTTTACATGAAACATGTAAGCTTCAATGAAGGAATTCAACACGGAAACATCAATTTCCCAGAGAACACTGGGTTGGTGATAGATATGAGATGAGTGAGACCCGCTTTTGATTATCATACGAAGTTTTATACAATGAATAAAGGGGGGTAAGTTTCTAAAGAAACTGTGGTACTGCGTCGGTGGGAGAGTATCACAGCGTAATTTAATAACATAAATTGGCCATCGTTAAGAGTTTCAAAGCTGATGTTTCGAGCGTTAGCCTTTCGTCAGAGCTATTGGAGGAATTGTGGGTTGTGTGCGTTTGTATGCAGAAAGTGGAGCTAAACTATTGGAGGGAATATGGTGACGAATGAATGAATGACGCACGTAAACCCATACATAACCCACAATTTCTCCAATCGCTCTGACGAAGGGCTAACGCTCGAAATGTCAGCTTTCAACTCTTTACGGTGGCCAATTTACGTTATAACCTCAGTTGATAATACTGAATTAAAAGTTTTATGCAGTTTGCTAAATAGCTGAAAGGTGACGCCAAGAAAAAGTAAAATTAAAAATGAATAAGAGCTCCATCATTTCTACCAGCCTGTTTTAAAAATTTGTCAGTAATTATTAGAATCAGTCTGACAACAGACCTTTTGATCCCTGTGACGTCTGTTTCATGATGAGCCAGAAGAGAGTATGGACTAGGCGTCCGTCCATTAAATCTGCCACTGAAGTCATGTCTAATACATTGGCGGTACTGTCGTCTTTATAAGCATCTCTCAAAGCTGATTGTATCATCCTTAAAATCTGCCATAAACTTGTATGGATCTGTTACACGATATAAACAAGCTGCCTTTAACTAATACTTCTCAAACACGACTTCATAAATGAAGACTCTTAGAACCGACCCCAGATAGAAAAGACGAGAAGCGCCTATTTCAGGACAGTTATGTTCTATGGCACCTAAACTTTCGCGAGGACTTTCTGTATGAGAGGGTGTAAGGGCAGTGGGAATATTTGAATTTCATAATCAGGTGTCAGTCACTGTTAATTTTTTTCTTAAATAGATCGTGGTCAAGCCACTGTAAAACGCAATTCCTATTCCCAAAATACAGGAAAGATCATCACGTGATTTCCACGTACAGGTTAAGTTACAATGGTCTCATTTACTTACTTCGTAAAATGGATAAACTTTGCCATCTTTCGCTTTGCAGAATTCGTCCAACAAAGAACTGTTTACAGTATGAGCCCTGTACTTCAACGGAAGTTTCTTTAGAAGTGCAGATTGAAGAAGGAAAAGTTTCACCTTATCCTCGGCAATCTTCATCGCATCCTGCATGGAGCCAAAATTGTACAGATTTTGTCATTGCACAAACCCTCACAATAAGTTTGAAGTGTAAAACACATGTCAAGTGTGTGTTACTTACCTTACTGATATTGTCGTCGTGAAGTAGTAGTAAGAGGACTTGCACACAAGCAAGGATTGTGGCAACCTCCCGACATCCACCTTGTGGTGGAGATTGAAGAGCAACTTGAACTTCCGACTGGAGATCAATCTGAGGTAAGACAAACAACAAAAAGAAAGTAAGATAAATTAGATTTGGACATGTAAAGGAGCAAATGAATATCTCTTAGACCCTTTGATCCCTAAAAGTGACTTGCATCTAATTTCTCTTTACAATGTCACCACAGAATCATACATTAAGGTCAGGAGGATAAAGGAAATGATCACTAATTGAAGAAGCTTTTGATTGTTAAACAAATTCTTCCTGTCAGCACCTTAGGAAATGCGTAGAGAGCAGTATGGAGAATATACATACTGATGTTAAGGTGTAAAGGGTTAAACACATTGCACACCTGATTGTCTGTTACTGCACGTCCGGCGATGTTTTCCTGAGTACACTGACGGCGCCAATACCTCATCAGCCAATCCCATGTATTGCAGACTGCTTCACCATGCTAGGAACAAGAAATAATGTACATATGAGCGATTTCAGTGAAATCAACATCTTTTTACGCTTTCTTTTCATTATCTGGGATTTTCTAAGATATCCCCACCCCTGCAGATCTAGAGTGATACTGACGGTATCTGTACTCCCTATGTTCTTCAATGAGTGAATCATTTGTCATAAAGCTTTACAAGCTCTTGAGTTGCTGAAAGGGCAACTGGGAACGGGGTATGTATCACTTTGAAATAAAAATTTAGCTATTACATTAAACAGCGTGTGGAAATGCTATTTTTGGTGCAGCTTCTGCTATTGTTAGAAATCCCATTTTTAGTAAGTAGGAAAAGGTTCCGGATGTTGCTTTACGCCACAAACACTAGCGCTAATATTGGTGTCATCATTTTACATTCCCTCATTAAGTCTTCCCGTCTAACCTTCCTGAGGAATGATCTATGTTTTGAAGTGGACTCGTTGTAATATCCCGTCACTTTTGTCGCAGTCATCTGGACGCCTGAGATAAAGACACAATTCAATCCTTGTCCAAGACAATGTAACAGAAGACAACGGAAGAAAAACTCCACCGCCACATCAAGCTTTTTCGTCTCTCCGGTCTTTTTCCATGGAACATTTTCCGCGTCAGTTAACACCAGAAATGCGGGAATATTACGATCGATGTACTCTTTCCAATGCTTGTCCCAAACACTTGCTATTGATGTCTCAATTGTGAAAGGTGTGTTGTGCTGAAGATGAAGAATTAAAGCTTGTCGTGCCAACAGCATGGATGGTCGACTCCTCCAGATGATCTCCATTTCTTCGAAAAAGACAACGTGGAAAACACCACCTAGTTCAACAAGAAATGACGTGGTTAGATGATTGAAGGGAAATCTAGCAGAAAAATACTAAGAACTTGTATCATTTTACAGGTAATCGGTGGTAGTATCACATACAAGTTAATGATCAACTAATTTGCGAAACCAATACCGCCTTTAGCCGACATTTTGTGGTGGTCCTGCTAAATGAGTGAAACAGGCGAAAAAGAAATGTCGTCACATCTTAGCAACCTATATTCCTCGAGTTTCCGGTTTTGGGCAACCTCCGTCGATCTAAGTACTATCGTTTCAGTTCACACCTTCACCGTCACTGAAAACACTCTCATCATCCTACAGTTACCTGTTAACCCTTTGACTCCCAAAATCTCATTAGCAATTCTCCTTACTGTCTGCCATATAGTTCTTGTAATGTTAGTTTGAGAATTTGTAGTTATGATAAATTATTAGACATGGCTAACCTAAGTACACTGCAGAACAGAAGACTACAGGACATAGCCATTCTTATGTATAAGGTAAAGAACAATTTATCTCCTAATTACATATGTAGCCTTTTTCAAATTCCACAACTTAGGTACACACTGCGTAATAATGATTTTGGTATACCTAGATTTAATACTGTCACTTTTGGAAAACATTCGCTTAGATATATGGGACCCAAAATATGGGCAATTGTACCAAGAAATGTAAGAGAACTGACATCCATATCATCTTTTAAATGTAACATACGTAGAATAGACCTTGTTTCTAAATTGACTGATAGTAAATGTGAAAACTGCCTTTTATGTAAGACTTAGGTTAGATTTTAAATTGTACATATATATTGTTTTATTTTTAAATTTCTCAAATTTTTAGGTAGTATTTAGTGTCCCCAGTTAGTGGTTGTATAACTGCTATTTTAGATTTGACACATAAATAAAGGTTGTATGTATGTATATGGTGTTGGATCAACTAATAATCCCCTAATTAATATCTTTATTCTCATAACTTGTCTACTTAATATCGTAATAATATTATGAGGAGAAATTCTGTCTTGGTCACTCATGGGAGTTAAAGGATTAGGGGACATTTAACATCCCATTAGCTCTAACCTGGCTATCATTTCTTATTTCTTTAGGTTGACAAGTGGAGCTCATTTCGCACTTGCAATCATTATTATCTTTCTTAATGTTTTCACTTGTTTTCTGCACTGACCTTTATCTTTAAAATACTGGAGGAAGCGTTCAAGTAAATAGGTGAGATGGAGAAACTGTCCGCCATGTTGCCAGTCTAGGCTATTTTGGCAAAGAAGCTCCAAAAGCAAAGAGTCGCCGTCAATCAGGAAAATCTCCGCGTCAACAAAGTCCGTCAGAATGTTGAGATATCTGTAAATTCATTAAGAAAATGTTTACCAATTTGGAATCAAAGGAGGTCGAACAGTAAATTTCACCCACACTGCTTATTTAAGTATGCGCGACTCGTGCTGTAGATAAATCTTATACATTGTCTATGCGTATGGCCTGACTCGTCGAGGAATTCCCTGTGTAAAAGCAGAATCAAATTGTAAAGCATCACGAACAATTTGAACAGTGTCGAAGATGTTAAAGGGAAGTCACTAATTAATTCATATCTCACTCACATGTAAGAAAAGAGAGAGGAATGCGAATTTGTGACACTAGAGTTGAAAAAGCTGAAAAAAACACCTTGTACCATACTTACTGTGGCCTAACTTTGGGACCGTCATAAAATTTACGAACACGGCGCACATTCATGTCAATGTTGATTCTCGGTGTAGGATCATTTTCATCAGAATCTTCTGCCGTTGGCTTCTCTGAGGCTGCAACTTTAATAATCAGGGAAAAGTGGGGAAAATCATGGATTACTTTTGTTTAACGTCCCTGTCGTAACGTGATGCTTGTGGGAGCAGCTGTGTACTTGTGACCCAACCTCCAGGGTAGCATTCCAAAGTTTGCAATAAAAAACCTAAATTTTCACTTCTATTGGAACACATGACAGTCATATGGTACTCTGGATGTGACACGATGTTACCCTCCACCCACTTTGAAAATACAAGCCACGCCCTTGATGCTGAAACTCCCTTATACTGTCCGTGTAATACTTCTCGTACTAAGTCCTATTTTGTGCAAGTCTGAGCAGGCATCATTCTGAGGTAGCACTTACTCTCATCGAATAACGATTCTTCTTCATTTTCCAGTTCTTCTTCCTCTTCATCGCTATCCGCGCCTTCATCTTCGAGTTGAATCTCTCCGTCTCCTCGATCCGCTGTCGAAAAAAAGAAAAAAGAAAGGATAAAAAAAAAAGGCAGCTGAGACTTCAGACCAAAGAGCAAGGTTTCAGTCACTAGGTAATTACGATGATATTCGCAGAGTTTTTATATACCAAACATTACTATAACCGCCAAAAACTTTGCTTATGTCACAAGCCGAAAATTCGCGGAAAATCGGATGGCTCTTTCCGAAGATTTGTCAATGTTGGATCTCGTTTCATGATAATCAAAGATGGATGCCTACTTTGAGCTGCTATTACTTCTCATCGACTAAAATTCCAAATCTTGTTTACGCGTAATGAACACCACTTAGATTATCTATGTTTTGTCATGGAAAAGTAATATTTATTCGCAATACTCAGTGGCATCAACGGTTAAATACTCGAAAAAAACTCGCACAGACCAGCAATGTTTAACATCTTTTTCAGCACTTAGACGAAAAAAACATTTTTCTTACGTAGTTCTTCACCATGGTCGTCTTCATCTGTGCCATTTTCTGAGTCGGATACGCAACTATCTGAGTCGTCATCAGTGGTGGAACTGTTATATTCTTCTTCTTCGTCCATCCTGAAAGGGAAGCTAACAGTTGAATAATTACTCCTGTAAATCTAATTAAAAGTATTTCACTATCGTTCGTTGACATGTTTTAGATCAGAGCCAACTACTGGAAGCCTTAATACCTATAAGAGCCGATGAGGAATCAAAGTGGAAACAATACAACAGACAAAACGCACTCAATGGACACTTTCAAGTTGCCTTGCCTTGGCGACACGATCCACCATGCAAACTCAACAACAAGGCGGTCGCAGCGCGAAGAGCTCTGTATTTGAAGAGGTGTGTCATGAGGGATGAAGAATTTGTCGAGGAAGCATCGGACGACAATGTACAGCAAAGTTTGGACAAACTGCTGGATCGGAAAGATCAGCTAGCGGGTGTCTTAAATCGATATAGACAAATAACTGTTGGAGTAGTTGCTGAGAAAGAACAAACCCAACACAAGATCACAATTCTGAGTAAAAAAACCCTTGACCATTACACAAACCCAGCATTTCTCAATAATCTTACCATAGAATATAGATAGCTGGACACATGTTTGAAAACCAATACAAGCTTATTTTAACAATGTTAATGTCAATGGTAATGTTTCTGACTCATTTAATAGGTAGCTGACCTAGCTCTGGAGTTCCTCGGACAATCCGACGGCTAAGCAAAATCATTTTTCTATTATCTTAAATGTTGAGCGATTCATTACCATAAAAACTAATCAGAACTCTGCTCAACGTCAACACGGAGCCGTACTCGACTCTCATCTGAAAGTGAGCTACTTTGGCGTGACTGTCGGCGTGACTGTCGGCGTGACTGTCGGCGTGACTGTCGGCGTGACTGTCGAAAGGCCAAAGACACTTTTCTGCGTTCGCGTGAGCTCGATCTGCATAATACTTTGACAAATCTGTGTTAGTTTTTTCACCTTCATGGCTTTAATTTTAATAAATGTTTTGTAAAACATTTAGTTGTAGCGTCTGTTTCCTTCAATTCATTTTGGTTAAAGAACAAATAATCGAATATTTAACAGTGATCTACAGATAAGGTCACGTATTCAAAAACTGGGTTAATTTACACGTTTAAAATCTACTCAACACAAAAATGTAGCGTAAAGCTGACTCTCAAACGTGAAATGAACTATAGGACACAATTAAATAATTAAACGAAAACTGAAATATTTTAGCGCCGAATAAAAGTAAACATGACTACAGGCACCAGTCGCTATAGAAAATTTCTTGATCGAGTCGTATCTTTCACAGTGATTTCAAATTCGTAAGACAAAGTTGTCAAAATCTCAGGCTGTAATCGAGTTAATTATTCACATGTTAAAAACTTTCCAAAACCTCTTTTACGAAACACTAGGGGAATCAAGACAAGTTGTTTCAACGTTTCACTGGAAGGGCAGCCACTGTGTCCTTTAGATTTCGAGATGTGCACATGTTGATTTAATGCTTCGGCGGCAGCATTTTGAGATAGAAAACCTTAGTTTTCCGAAACAATGCAGAACAAAGCAAGCTGACTGCGTTGAATAACAATAGCAAAAACGCGCTTAAGACAGGCTTTGACACGCATTTTTTTGGACAAAATGCGAAAATTATGCGAAAGTTTTGTGCTTGCATCGGCCATCTACCTCTGAGCTGGAATGTAAGTTATTGAATAACAGCTGAAAGCATTTCACAGCATTCTTTAAGTTAAAAAAAGGTTAACATCTCAGATAGGGAATAATTTCTCTTGGAAGTAATTAGTGGAAAAAATATGAAAACATTTAATAGCAATGAGCTATTTACATGGTTAAAATATTTAAAAAGGTAAAACCAAACATTTTTGAAACCAAGTCAGCATCACCTTGATGATGACCTAGTGTCAACAACATTATTTTAGATTCAGTTTTAAAATATTTTAGCCTTGTGAATAGCTCATTTTTAGACCAAAGAGAACTTTATGAACAGTTATTAGCATTCTTGGATCAGTTTCTCCCTAAAAATGACAAGATATGAAATTTTACATTCACCTTTCTGCCACCTTAATGTCCACAAATACTTCTTCCGGCCTTTCCTCAAGATCAGTGGTGGAAAGATGAGGGGGAGATAAAGAACCTGGGAGAAAAGGTACAGCGCTTTTCAAAATTCATTGTCTCACTTTACACAGAAAAAATGACGACAGGCATAATATTCTCTTATACCAAGGGAAAAAGTGAATGAAAACAAAATTGACTGTAATTTCCTTTCAAAAACAATATTTTGAATGAGAACTAAAAGTACTTCAAAGCATTCTTAGTTTAGTTTTACCATGAAAGGTTAATTTAAAAGCATCTTTTATTCACCTTTCATTCTTGGAAGTTTCATACTTAGCTCTCCTAGTTCTTGTTCTTCTTCAGGATCAAAGGTAGAAGATGCAAGGAGAGGAAACGTGTCTAAAAACAAAGGTATACTGGGAGAGATTAGCATTCAGTGACTTTCCTTCAGGCAAATAGTTAGAAACAAGCATACCCTCTTGTATTTAAAGATTGTAGTTTGCCTTTTTTGAACCAAGAAGCTTAAAAAAAGTTGAGAACAACTAAAATAGTATTCAGTCTACATGAATTTAATATTTCATTATTACATGGAAACTCAGCACTCTCTCTAACTAGAGAAGAGAATGAGGAAAAAACACCTTTGAAATAATTTGCATTGACTAGGATCACTTTTCATAATTACTGACAGAAGCATTCTTGGTTATTAATAACATTAATTTATATTTCAAGAGATGAGTAAAATCACATTCAGGTTATTTTTTCATTTCTCCTTTCTTTTCCTGATAGCTTCACTCCTACAGCTATTTTGGCCAATTTATGCACCTATGAATTCTCCCACTTCTTCTGATCAATATCAATGCATCAAAACAACAAGTCAGTGATTTGCCTTGATGTTTTCCCTTTTATTGGAGCATGTCAGGGGGAACTGAAGCCAAACTAGAACCTACACTAGACTTTAATGAGTCAATGAAAACAACTGAAAATGGTAAACCCCTTATCTTGATATTCATTTTGACAACGTGGTTTGATATCAGTTGAAATCAACTAAATCAACTAAAAGTGGGTTTTTTCCTAATAACAAGGGGGAAAAATTAACCAACATGAAGAACCACATTTCCATTACATCAACTTGAAAAACAAGTTCAAACTGAGCATCCTGCTCACCTTCCCTTCCCCAAGGTTCTTCTAGTTCTCTTCCATGACCAGTGGTGGGTACTACAGTGAGGGGTGAAGTACCTAAGGGTAAAAAAAAGCGGAGAGAGATTAGCATTCACAGCCTTTCTTCAAATGTTTTGTTCCCACAAGTGGAACTGCGTACAATTATATTAATTCATTGATGCCACATTTATTGCACAGAGATTATTCTTCAAATATTCATCACATAATTGTTATTACTGTTCACAACAACTTCCCATAATAACTTGATGAGAGATTTTTAATTTCCTTTTCACCTCCCAATTTTGCTGTCTTCATAATCCTTGTCTTCTGTTCACTTTTTCCCCATTGTTCTTTTTTTTGTGGACTTTCACTAGCTGAACTTGTGGAGTGGAATTCAGAGGATAAAGCACCTAAAAAAAGATGTACAAGAAGACAAACATTTTACACCATAAAACACACCTCAAACTATTTTTAAGAAAACCCACCATAGAAAAACTAGTAAAATTTTCTTTTATAGCCCCTCCTACAAAAATCTTGCCAATTAATCTTTGAGTGATTTATGTAGTCTAATATAATAAAGAGAGACAAATACAACCCTATAGAGAGGAAAACATTAAGCCAGATGTCTTAGTAGGAAAGATAACAGATTACTGGAGAGAGATGTTTGAGAAGAACAAAACATCAAATGACATGTCTTGCAAACAAACTACTTCTTGCATTGGCATGGTTTACATACTGTAGTTGGCATGAATTTTTCATGAGAAAACTTCCATCAATCTTGATAAAAAAACTGGACCCATCAGCCTTCATGACATGTACCCTACCACACTCCACATTGAAAGATTAAGGGATTTCATTCAAAAACCTTTACAAATATTTTATGATAGGACCAGACCTTGTTACTTTCTTTCTACCAACCTCTAAGTGCATCTTTCTCAAAGAAAATTTTGCATGCATTGTACTCTTCTATGTCCATTTGTGTCTTCAGCCTCAGCTCAGCCAAGTTCAGTTCCCTCAAGATCTTTTCAGTAACAAAACAATTTTGAATCACTTCACCAAGATGACCAGATGAATAATCTCTCCACAACTCCTCCAAGATTATTAGAGATTCACACTTCACCGTAATCACCAAACTTCCTTCATTGACACCAACAATGATGAACTTCATTTCTTTTGCATATTCCATAAACTGATTGCACTCTTCAATGGACTGTGGATTTGTGGTGTGGAAAGAAGCTTGAATAATTGATAGATAGGTTCTCATTCTGAGGGTATGGAGATCTTCTGTCTGTGGATGAGACACACTTCCAGATGCAGCTAATGTAGCAGATGCCCTAGGCTGCTGAACCTCTTGGCATCTGACAGACTCTCTTGCCAACATGCCAGTCTGCATATTCTGTTCTTCAGATTTCAAGTCATCCACATCAACGTTAATATTCAATTCCCCATCTGTTAAATTGTAACAGTCAAATTTAATCCTGATGTAACAAGGTTTTTTCACCTCTTACCTATTTAACCATTAAAATGCAAGAATGTTACAATGAACACCAATCAAACATAGGGCTTGTTACCACTGAATAGATACCAACAACATTTTGATTAAATGAAAATGATTACCACATACAGTATATCTATTGCTTCAGTTTCAGTTTCTTTTGCATCTTTATCTCATTCCACCGTAGAATCAAAATTCTGATTGATCTAAAAGATTACAGTTTAAAACATGGAAATATTTAAACAGATTTAGCTGGGTTGAAACATAGGCATGTGTAGCATGCAAGAGTTATAATTTTGGCTGGGTGGGTTGAAATGGGTCACTAGTAATGTTTTCATTTTTGTAAAAGAAAGAGAACATAACTTTCAAACAAATCAAAATATTGCATTACTTCACCTTGGGAAAAAAAAATTAGTACTCTAATTTATCTGAACTCACACAAGTATTTTATGGTCTTTTGTCTCTATTGTCTAAATACTTCTAGGGGAAAAATAAAAAGCATCAGTGCCACGCTTACTATTGTCTCCTTTGAAGCCATTGTTAGGTCTCATCACACAACACCCTCTATTCCCTGTTTTAGAGAGAGAGTGTTGAGTGACAAGACCATTTATGGTTGTGAAAGAGACTCAACTTAATGCTGTTCCTCTAACAGAGAGAAAATCAAAACAATTTGTCAACAGTTAGTTGCCCCAATAATAGAATAATTGACCTAGTTTTATTACAAAAAACAAACTGAAAGCTTGTTGTATCTCCAATAACCCTTCACCAAATATATATTGTGATCTTGCATAAGTGAAGATACACTGAACAAGAGAAAAGGATAACATTTTGAAGAGGGCTTCTTGATTGGTTGTTACTTTATCTGAACTTTTCCCTTTGTGTGTGAAATACATGAAAAATGCAGGTTGTTTACAAGGAATTGACATGCAATTGGGTTAAATCAAAACGTGGGAGACTTGCATGGAAAGTTTACTATCTGTCCCATTTAGTTCCATGTGAATTATTTCCAATGGGGTTGGACCATATGGTTAGAATACATAATTAAATTCAGGTTGTTAACATGAAAATAATTTGTGGTGGAGCAAAGTCTACTGTGGCAAAATGGAATTTGATTGGTAGAATACAATTCAAGCACATGCAAAAATTACCTAATGTTCATGTAGTACAAAGATTGGGTATGTTCTGATCAGACTTTGGATGTTGTTTCCATGGTACATGATGGAATGTAAATTGATTGGCATGTGCATTGTGAGTAAAGTAGAGGGAAAAACACTTTTTTTACTACAAAATGATATAAAAAGTTAAATGCAAACCATTCATACCCTGAAAAAAAATAAATCTTAATGGATGAGGCTCTCACAAAAGCTACAAACCATTGCACTTATCAAATGAGCCCAAAATTTCTGATTTATGAAATTCTTTGTGCACAGCCACCTGATTCCATGACATCATTTCCAAGAAAACAGTACCCAAATGCTGTGATTGGTGAAAGATATCCAAAAACTGTGATATGATTGGTGCCAGATACATTCCCTAATGCAGCAATCCAATTGGTGTGAGATACATACCCTAATGCTGCCATCTAATTGGTGCAAGCAACATACCACTCTGTACTCTAATATAGAGGTTTTTTTAATAAAAAAAAGCTTTAAATGACTGTGTACTTAAACACTTGTAGTACAACCACAATTCTAGATAACTGTAACAACTCAGGACGTACAGGTGCACTATAACTTGCGCTTACCTACATGTACCAGTATTCAGTTTATCTTACGTGGCTCAGTCTACACATAAGGTTTAGCCTCATACAGTACATGTAGCATAACATTTCAGCAAATGTACTGAAGTAAAAGAAAAATTAAAAGAAGTGGGCTCACCGTTTGCAGTTTTCACAACATTTTCAATTAGCCCTTTGAACTTCTCACATTCCTTTCTCCAGGGGTAACCCTTCCTGTAGTTCTCTCTGAGCTGTCTGGCATTGGTTTGTCTCTCTTCTGGACTTTGCCTGGAAACCTCTCTTATCCTCTGTGCCCATTCATCCTTATCATCTGATCCAACAATGACAGTATTTCCACCTGGTACCTCTTGCAAAGCCTCAGCTACTCCAGATTCACCGGAAACAAGAACAGGAACACCACAGGAGATGGCTTCGAGGCAAACTAACCCAAATCCTTCAGTACGTGAAGGAAGAGCCACCAGGTCCGATTGGTGAAACATTTCTATCAGTTCACCCTGATCAGTGCAATAACCACGAATGAATATCTGCTTTTGTTTGATGAGTGTTTTCTGGAGAAACCAATCCTGTACCTTTTCGTGGTCATCAGCAGGGGAGCCAACAAATGTAAGCTCATATTCCTCTCCAAGAACACCTATGGCATTTGCTACTATATCATAACCCTTTAACGCAAGGTCTTCAGATTTTGCTCGGCCGAACATGAAGACGTTGAATTTCTTCGACGTCCTCGATAATACACCAGCATGTTCGATGCAAAATTTTTCCATAATTCCAGGGGTGATCATCTCCACTTTCATATATGGTAGACATCTGTCGTACTTCTGTTGTAGACGTGAGCCGACAGCAACCACTGCATCCGCCGCTTTACACAACGCAATTTCCATCTTGTGCTTCTTCTCGTTCTCCGCGATCGTATCTGTATCAGCCGCGGCAGTAGTTTCTTTGAACTTTCCAAGGTCCTCACAGAAGACGTGGACGAACTGAATCCATTTACATCTTGTAGTTCGTACGATGAGGCATGCTGGAGTTCCAAGTTTTCTGCCATGACTAATCACAATGTGCGGATGCAGAAGCTCTGGAGGTGGAACTTTCAAACAGTCGAGGGGTTCTGGCGATCCTGGAACAGTCTGAGCGGTGATTAAATTCACTCCTCGTTGTTTAGCATGTTCTCTGTCCTGCTCATCGCTTCTCGAGACATAACAGTGGATTTTTATGCCAGTCGTTTCCCGTGCCAAATTAATAGCTAACTCGCGATTGAAAGTTGATATTCCACCTTTTGAAGATTTCCACTCGTCACAAAGAAACATGACATCAATAAGGCTCTGTTCTTCGCTACTGACGACAGTAGATACGCCCGAACACGCCATTGTTAATTTCTTCTAGCAATCGATAAGTTTCACTCCACTAAACATCGCATTCAAAGTCCATCTAACACACGAAGCAGCTCAAGGGATGCCCGAAGGGATTCTAAGGATCGTATCACGGAAGTTGCGCCTCTAGATCATGTTCAGCTGTTCAGCGGCTCGAGACAGTGTATATGGTGGCCGAGAACTGCCAATAAAAAAATCACATATTTTTGTGTAATAAATGTTAGTTTGACTGAGGTATAAATCAAAACTATGAGAGGACGGATATGGCTTTTACTGCAAGTATCATCTCCCGCAGCGTTATTTCCCCGGGTCTGTTGGGAATGTGTGAAAGCATGTCAAACTGTAGGAGATCAACTTATCATCGCTAGTTATTGGGGTCCTGGTTAGTGTTGTAATGCGACTCCATAACCTTTCAAACTATAGAGATCAATGTGTCATCGCTCGTGAATGGAGTCCTGGTTAATGTTATGAATGTCGTAATATGATTCTTTAATCTTAATAAAAGACTCCATTCTTTTGCCTGTTGTCCTGTTGTCTTAACCAGCTTTCAACCACGAGTTGTTTGTTAGTCGTAGGATGGCATGTTCTTTCTACGACATATTTGTGGGCATGTATGGGCGGCCGTCACCACCAAAAATACAAGGATGTCAAATAGATCAGCAAATACAAAGATGGTGTAAGGATCAGCTGCAGGATAGCATAGCTAATAAAGGAATGGCATGGCATCATTATAGACAGTCTAGTTTTCCTTCGTGAAACAGAACACCCTAAACATGAATAGTTTAGCCAAATGAGAAACGGTCTAGTAGCCCATGTTGAGTTGGATCATGAGATTGTGAAATGGACTAGCTCAATTACGAATAGCTTAGCACTCATTTGCAATACAGTACTCAAACGGTGTAGCGTTAAGTTAAACGGCTCAGGGTAACGTCGAGTAGCACAGCGTACGCACAAACGGTGTAGCGTTGCGTCAAATAGCTCAGCGTAATTTAGAATGGTACAGCGTACACACATATGGTGTAGCGCTGCGGGAAATGGCTCAGCGTAATGTCAAATGGTACAGCGTACATAATAACAGTGTAGCATTGTGTGAAATGGCTCAGCGTAATGTCGAATGGTACAGCGGACATACAAACAGTGTAGCGTTGCGTGAAATGGCTTAGAGTAATGTCGAATGGTACAGCTTACATACAAACAGTGTAGCGTTACGTGAAGTGGCTTAGCATAATGTCGAATGGCACAGCGTACACACAAATGGTGTAGCGTTGCGTCTACGCTGTACCATTGTACATTACGCTGAGCCATTTCGCGCAACGCTACACCATTTGTGTGTACGCTGTACCATTCGACATTATACTAAGCCACTTCACGCAACGCTGCTCCGTTTGTATGTACGCTGTACCATTCGACATTACGCTAAGCCATTTCACGCAACGCTACACTGTTTGCATGTACGCTGTACCATTCGACATTACGCTGAACCATTTCACACAACGCTACACTGTTTTTATGTACGCTGTACCATTCGACATTATGCTGAGCCATTTCCCGCAGCGCTACACCATCTGTGTGTACGCTGTACCATTCTACATTAAGCTGAGCCATTTGACGCAACGCTACACCGTTTGTGCGTACGCTGTGCTACTCGACGTTACCCTGAGCCGTTTAACTCAACGCTACACCATTTGAGTACTGTATTGCAAATGAGTGCTAAGCTATTCGTAATTAAGCTAGTCCATTTCACAATCTCATGTTCCAACTCAACATGGGCTACTAGACCGTTTCTCATTTGGCTAAACTATTCATGTTTAGGGTGTTCTGTTTCACGAAGGAAAACTAGACTGTCTATAATGATGCCATGCCATTCCTTTATTAGCTATGCTATCCTGCAGCTGATCCTTACACCATCTTTGTATTTGCTGATCTATTTGACATCCTTGTATTTTTGGTGGTGACGGCCGCCCATAGTATTGTTCATTGTTTCAGTTGAGCCAAAAGACAAATCAATCTGCGAACCTTTCATATTCCTTACGTATACATGGGAAAGACCAATCTTTCATTTATTTATTATCAGTGACGGATTTTTAAAGAGAAAGTTGATATTTTTAGACCTTTTGAGTGGAATGGGAGTTAGCGGCGCAAGGTCAGTTTTGGAAAAACTCGTTAAGAAATGAGCCAATTCTACCTTCCATACGACGGCAATGATTTTTTTACATCAGCTCGTGAATCTTGCTGATAGAATTTTTGTGGTAGAGTGACTTAAGTCACACGACAGCACAGAAGCCAAGCTTCGAGCAGGGGATGGTGTGACTAAAAGTCACCTCTGGTTGTGACCGTGGTGGGAACTTAGCTTTAGCTCGATGGGTCACATGAGTGAGAGGGCACTCTTTTTCTGGTGGTCTCAGGACATATAGGAATCAAATTTTTCTGCTTTATAGTTTTCAATAGCTGGATTTCATTTTGCTGATATTCAGCTCGCGGCTGCACAGAAGCAACGATTCCAGCTGGGGATGGCGAGCGTTAACTGAAAATTTCTCGCTGCCACCATAGATGTTCACTCGACCGCGACGGATGCAAATGACCCACTTTTTGCTTCACGACCATGATGACACGCAATGAGAGTGCGCGAACCGCATGGCGTCAAATAGTGGTGACAGATCAGGTAAGTGATATAGGCGCCAAACCAGAAGTTAATGATATAATACAGAATCTTCTTCATATCTTCCAGCGACCATGTATTATTTTATCACAAAAACACAACAGCCCTTTACTGACTAACTAATGAATAAAAATAAAAGGATCGACAATCCACGAATAAAAACCGTAAAGAGCTTTGGCACTAAGGCTCAAGTTGAAAACGTCAGCATGCGTAGCATGCAAGAGTTATTTTTTTCGGCTAAGCGGGTTGAAATGGGGAACTTTGTGAACATAATGTTTTTAATTTTTGTGACAGAAAAAGAGCACAACTTTCAAACGGACGAAAACATCGCATTACTCCAACTAAAGAGAAATAAAAAACCTAAATTATCTGAACTGACCCAGGCATTTTTTTTTATCTATTGTCTCTGTTGTCTAAATACTTCGCAGCAAAAAAAAAGTGTGGCATCAGTGCCACACTTATTGATGTCTCTTTCGTAGCAGTTGTTTGGTCTCTTCACCCAACGCTATCTATTCCCCGTTGGAAAGAGAGCGCGTTGTGTGATGAGACCAAATAACGCATACGAAGGAGACTACGCTTACTGCCGTTCCTTTAACAGCTAGAAAACAACTACTAGATAAAAACCAGCTTTGCAATCCAACTAGTACACAGTATGATGGGCTTTCTTTCTGTTACTTTTTCTTGAAACATCGGGTAGAATGCGTGGACATCAATGATTATTCATAACTCATAAAGCAGCAAATTTGAACGCGACCTCGCTTAGATGAGCGATACGTCTGCAATAAGTTAACGCATCATTGATGATTGTCGTATGGGCCTTGTTGACTTTAACTAGTTTAAAATAATGTTTTGTTTGACGATATCGATTTTAAAATCAAATTTACATATGGGATTGACAAGCATTACCTAGGCTTTATGTAGGAGTAAAACAAAAAATTTTCCATGTGTTTAAATTACAGGACAATTTCTTCGGGGTTTTTAGTTTTTAAGTCTTTTCCATGATACCTAATGCGTAAAGATCTGAAGATAAGATAATTTAAGTGATTCCTTGGAAAATTATGAAATCCAGTTTAGTAGGGCATGCGGAATTAAATGGGAAATACACAAATTGTTACCGATGGGAACTAGTTTTGTGTGATTAACATTACAACACAAGTTGTTCTTGGAAAGAAAAGATGTGTCACAAAAAGTCTTTGTTTAAATTTTCGATCCTTGTTCGCAGGCAAGAAGTCAAAAATTACAATTATAATAAAGTTCGGATATAACACGTACTGTCATTGGTTGAAAGAGCGTGCTCTATGAGAGTATAGAGCATAGAACTGAGCTAAAGCTGTCACGCCATCTGCCAAATTGTACTATGTCCGACCTTTTCCGGGACTTCTTTCTAGCTTTTCCTTCGTTAATTGAAAGTGAAATTTCGGAACAAGCGAGCAAAGGTTTGCAAAAATGCCAGGCGCGGTAATTTACGTTACTGTAACGTGAGCAGAGACAAAAATCCTCAAATTTTAACGGTAACTGTAACGTGAGCAGAGACAAAAATCCTCAAGTTTTAACGGTTTTCACGCTCAGTTAGATTGCAAGTTTAAGTACGGTAATAAAAATCAAAGACAGCTAACACTTCTATAGTGTATAAAATTTCGTTTTCAAAAACAAAGCAGAAAAAAACAGGAATGATGAAAAGTATAACCTGGCATAACTGTTAAAATTCATACTAATCATGAGGGTGTCAGAGCGACTGCGATCATGCTGAGGCCTAGCTCATCAGGCCCATCTTCGGTCATCGCAGTGGAGCAAGCCTCAGGAACTAAACCGACTACCCTTCGAGTGGAAAATAAGAGCTTGCTCTGATTACCTTTCAGATGCGTTGAGTGGAAGGCCACATCAGTCACTGCAGCCGAGTTTTACGGCGCTGCCATTCCGAGCGATCTTCATGTCCTGGTGAATTCGGCTGTTGTTCATTCATAATACGCTCGCCTTGAACAGTTTGTTTTCTACTTGTCATGTGAAATAATTTTTGTATTTTTATGAGCCACGATTGGGTCGAATTTCACTTTTCACTTTTAGATTCTGTATTAGAAACTGAAAAACTTCAGGCAAAAGTGTTAACTTCGAC